TCGCCTAGAGCGGCAGGGTCGTCTGCTGCCAGCTTCTCGGATAGCCAAGTCTCAACGTGGTCCGGCGAATACCGTGCCTGGCACTCAAGCATCCCGTGGGCGGGGTGGTTTGTGTCCAACCAGGCGGGGAACAGCTCCTTCCGCTCAAGCTCGTACAAAATCTCCGCCATGATACCAATGCCAGTGTGCGCGGGCGGGATGGAGCTGTGACCGCCAGGTACGGCAATATCGATAATGAGATCGATACTACCCTTCTCGCCGACAGCCGGGAGAGCATACAAGATCTCGCCGTTCGGGTTAGACGCATCACCCAGGCTCTGTAGTCCCATGCCGCCCTCATCAAGGATGAATTCGAAAGAGTCTTTACCGTACTTCTCCTCCAGAGCTGCTGAGATCGCTCCGGCGCCTAGGAAGCCGTGTGATTCCTCATCGAACCCGAAGGCAAACAGGACCGTGCGCTGTGGCTTCCAGTCCTGCGAGAGCAGGTCTTCGACTACGGACAATAGTCCGATAAGAACATTTTTACAGTCGCTTGCACCGCGGCCCCAGATCCATTCGCCATCAAAGAAACCTGCGAAGGGCGGGTGGGTCCAGTCTGATGGGTCGTCGATCGGGACGACGTCCTGGTGGGCCATGAAGAGCAGCGGCTTGCGCGAAGTGTCAGCACCCTCAAAGGTGAAGACTAAACCGAGCCGGTTAATGTGCTCAACTTTGGCCCGGTCGTGTCTATGTAATTTATTTAGTATTTTCTCCCTTGATCCATGGCTGGCCATGGTCAATAATTGGACAATTCCTTACACTATAGGGAACAGCTCTTCCAGCAGCGATTGAAACTTAACTACAGGCTCAAATGCCTCATCGTATGGATCATTCATATAATCACCCACGGTGGTTGGGATCTGCACCGCACGCGAGAGGCGTTCTGCCTGGCGGGCACGGAAGGCATCGTCGGTGAGGAAAATCTCCGACGAGTGCAGGCCATCATTGGGAAGGCTGACTTTGGGTGGCTGTGGGCAGGTTTCCTGTGTAGATGGGTTCGATAGCGGGTTATCATGACTACCTGACAGATCAGTGTCGGGGAAGAGAACCTGCTGTGTAGGGATATTGAGTGCTAGCGATGGCACTGCGGCCAGGCCGAGCAGGGCGAGAGATTTCATGGTTGGATCGAGTAGATGCAATACTTTCGAGAGAAAATATTCAAAGAGCTTTCAAAATGGAGGTGAAGAGATTCACAATAGCTTAAACAGAGCACGTCAAGGCTTATCTTATCTTCCCCTCTCCACGCCTCGGCTGGCGGCCGTTGCCGATGGCGAATTGCCCTATCAGGCTGGCCATTTTGCCGAGAGTTGGGGTAAGTGTAGTATCTATTGATCATGTTGGAATTGACAGTTCAACTTTAATTCTTCATCTTTGAATGGATTGAAGGTAATAAATATATCTCGATAGAATTCCGCGTCCCATTCTACTTCCTTCCCCCGTTGCGGAGCAGAAAACATACAGTAATAGATTGAAGCTAACGTACTCAGGCTAAGATAAAGTAAGCACCAGTGGCTCACAGCCACGAAATAATGTTAAGTTTGTGCCTACGGGTATTCCTCGGGTATTACCCCCGATTGGAATGCGCTTCTTTTGTATTTAAAAGGGAAGGGTATGTATTTCGTTTTTCACAAAATCGAATGAGAAACAATGACATCTTCCGTCCATATACCTACCAGTAGGAACGACACATAACTGTTTACCGGAATATTATGTTAAGGTATTATCCCTGGCGACACCCGACACCCTTGGATATTATTCTTACTGGCCGCACGGAGTTGTATACTGGAATGACTTGTCCTTGTTGAGGCCAGGTAGATGATCATCGGTATCGTATGCTGTTCGTCCTAAATGACGCTAGTTGAATGTACCGCGAGGAATATGTGATTGAGGTTTGCTTTTTTTTTTTTGGTCAATTCGGATCTCTCATATGGAGTAGTGGAATCGGAATATTGACAAATTCCCGCCCCTGATCTGCTTGATCTACTTAGTTCACAGGCTGCTATTGCAATCTGAAACGTCGACCATGCTGATATAGGCAATACCGACAGTTCCCTGATTGCCATACAGAATTATAGCACTTTGAAAAATCCAGGCAAAAGATGCTGTTCAGTGGCGTCCGACGGGAAGATCCCAGGGGGTCCAATGTAAATCGCAATCCAAGCCGATTAAGCTAATCCAATAGTCATTATTTCTTTCCCACCTCTACGGTCTACGGGTTCCGTGCCCCTGGGTCGAAATGAGGGTACCCGAAATTGGGTCAGGTTAATTTGAAATCTCTTCCGGGGTACATCGGTAAGGAAGAAGATAAGGGATAACTAACGTATTTCACTACCGAGTGGCCCACCCCAAAACACCATAGTAAATGCGATAAATTACAACTTGTATCTCAACAACGATAGTCTATATAGAGCTTTCCTTATAGCTAAATACCTTTTTAGGTGATATCTAGCTTCTCTAGGGAGTTTAGAAAATATTTATGACTTTATGATTGCGCTATATTTGATTCTAGCTTTTAGTAACGTAATTTTTGATACCGTGATAATATAGTTGTTCGATTCTCTTAAAATTAATATATGGTGTTTGAAATCCTTATCAATAGCTATCGAGTGATAATAAAATCAAATAATAACGTGGTTGTTGCTATATAAGGTTGTAAAATATCGCATTTACTATGGTGTTTTGGGGTGGGCCACTCGGTGGTGTGGGCCACTCGGTGGTGAAATACGTTAGTTAGGGTTGTACTGGTGTGTAACCTGATAAACCAGGCACCCCACAATGCGGAAGCTTCGGCTCAACCATGGATCCAAAATAGACTTATTAGGTACTCAATTTTGATGTCTACAGTTTCCCATTTAGGCCATGTCGTACGCATCAATAACTGTCTTGATACCTTGCAGAATATATAGACGACCTACGGAGTATAATAATCCAGAATACCAGACTACCAGAATACCAGAATAACAGGAAATCAGAAAAGGAGAAACAAGGGGCCACCAGCGATGACCAGCAATGACCAGAAATGTCAGATTCCTCTCAAATGCAACACCCTAAAACCACTCTATACTCAATCCAGACAAGCGGCAAACTAGAAACACGCGAACTGTCCCTCAAGTTCATCCCATTTGACTCTCAAGGCTCCATCCGCCGTCATTGGCCGCTCAAAAAGGAAACATGTCGCCACACCCGGGGATGTTGACCAGGCGATCGCCAGGTCGCAAGCCAATGAGGCGAATGAAGCCCCAGTGCGAGTTCAATAGAGCATGTCGCTTACTGTTTCAGGTTTATCACTTGCTACTTTCGGTCGATCAGTTAGACATTGATGTCATCTGTCCCAGCCTTACTCCACAGAAAAACACTCGAAAAAAAATGGAACCCGACGGGTGTTCCTGACTTCCTGACACCAAACAAACGGCCACTTTAAAGAAGCTTGATGGACCCTTTTTTCTTTCTCTCCCTGTCACCTTTGCCTGTCAATTAACTCCCTCTTTTTTTTTTTTACATATCCTTGAATTCTCAATATCTACTCTCTCTTATCAAACAATTCTTCACTATCTAATTCGTTGATCGAATATTTCACCCACCAATCATGCATACCAACTACGTTTTTACGGCCCTTGCCCTAGCTCTTCCCGTATACTCGCTTAGCTCCACCGCTAGTATGGGCTGCTATTCCGCCATCGAATCATTCAAGAACCAGGGTCCCTTCACCTACCAATCACCAGGACATTGCCAGAGCCAATGCGCAGACAACGATTTCAAGGTCGCTGCTCTGAGCCGTGGCAACATGTGCTACTGTGGAAACAAAGTGCCTTCGGACTCTGCTAAGATCGCCGACGATAAATGCGACATCGCCTGCACTGGATGGCCTGTAGCAAGCTGTGAGTTCCCTACAATGGTATATAACACGGTAACCGGATCATAACTGACAGGATATTTCTTATATAGGCGGCGGCATGGATACCTTCAACATCATCCAGGCGACTGATGACTTACAAGCCTCTCCTTCTGGAAACGCCTCCACTACTGTTGCACCCACTGCTGCCACCGCAGCTGGCGGGATCATTGTCGCTGCCTCGACAGCTGGAGCACCAACTGGTATCGTAACCGCGGCCTCAACCACAAACTCTAAGAGTGGCAACGCTGTGTCCAAGTCTGCTGCTGTCTCCGGCGCTGTCGCAACTGCCTCGCCCACCCCCACGAATAACGCTGCCGGAACAGTCCGCGCAGGATCATCGCTTCTCGGCGCTGTTGTTGCGGGTCTGGGCTTGCTCCTGTAAAGCTCTGAACTTTCATGTCTTGTGATTGACGATGTATATATACTGTCATCTTGATTCCCGATACTCTGCATCGCATGTACAGTTATATCCCTCGCTAGTTCGTCAACAGGGCGTTCGTGATATCAGGGATAATATCCTGTTCTTTTTTTTTCTGTTCCTGTTTCTTCTACTGGATCTGCTGGTCGGATTTGGGATGCATTTACTGCCTGTCTTGGGATGGGCATTCTCTACACTCGTTTTTTTATATTTTGGGGTTGCATGAACAAACTAGATTAGCATTCATTATTTACTACCGAAGGACTTCGATATCCTTTTCGGAGAATTTAAGATTTTGCCAATGGCATTTTTAAGAAAGTACTTAATAGGGGTGATTGACATGCGCTAGCCAACTCAAAATAGAGTTCTTGACGATCTTGAAAAGTCCGAGGCAGCCCAAGGATAGGATCTTGACTCCTCAACGTGATAGCAATGTGTTGCCTCTCATGCGCGTGACTTTCTGGGGGCTGGGCCGAGGCTATGTTCCTTATCTTATTCTTAATTCCTTCTGTTACTCGATTTCATTCGCAGACTTGACTATAATGACTGTTATTCCTGCATTCAACGCTCATCTATATATTGTCCAGTTGTTTTTCTTCTGCCCCTGAGGATACTAAGTTCGGTACTCCAGCACCTATACGCTGACCACTAGAGACTCATGCCACAGCCTGCTATGCCAGAGCAAAAGCTTTTACCCTTCGATCGTGTCTGGGCGGCCATCGTGCCACTCACACATGCACCCTGCGCAAGGTCGACGCCCTGTGTTCCGCTGATACAGTTACCCGCCACGCCTGCGCTGATATTCACACAAGCCGGGTTGCAGGGGTATATTTCGCGATGAATTTCTGGATCGCGCGCGTAGGGGCTGTAGACGGCCTTACTTCGAGAGTCTTCCTCGGTACTACCACCGCATCTGCTCCCATTGCGGTTGTGTGACCGTCGCCGCGCTTTCTCCCAGCACGATTCAAGCTGGGCGGTCTTGGTCTGCATTGCCCTTGGATCGGCTTGGGCCAGGATGCGAACTGAATTATGAGATGAAATATGCGGTCCTTTGTTTTTATTCCCGCCGGTTGTATCGGTGCTATTGTGAAGAAGAGCAGCGTTGGTTTTGGCATTGAGAGCGGACGGCGATATCAACCTGCCAAGTCCTTGATTGTTGGACTCGCGCACCGCTTCGCAATACCAGCAGGTGCATTCACTGTAGATCTTGCCGCCGGTGAGCTTTTGGTATTGTCTTGAGGTCCATGCGAAGGCATCATTGAGTTTTATCTCGTCGATTTTGTCGTCGTGGTTAATGAATATACCTTCTATCTGGACAGTAGAGAAGGTGTAATAGCGGACGGGAGAAAGCTGGTGCGTGTGCCATATTAGGTCGATGTCGAGAGTGGGGACAACAGCATGGCCTTTATTCTTGGCCATGATTTGGAAAAACACCCCGTACTTGCTGATGAAGTGACTCATGGTCGATCTCACGTTTGGCGAACGTATCCAACCGATATTGTCCATCTTGTCCACAAATGTCCCTTGCCGTATGACCGCCCCGATCAAGTCGATGGCGAAGGGGGATGAGTTGTCCCAATATCTGGAGAGCATATTGCGAAGCGATATCCTCTCTGGCATATTCGAGTTCCCGGAAGCCAGTATTGTCTTGTTCACGCGACGCATTAATGGACGACTCTTCAGGAATCCCTCAAGGTGGTCGCGGATGGTGCCAATCGTGGTCCTTTCATTCTCAGTGAGGTCTGTGAGCTGCAAGATCTCGCTTCTGATGCCTTCCTTGATAAGTCGGTTTGGGAAGGACACATTATCGCCATTTTCATCGTCAGCAGGAGTGCCATTCTGCGTCAAAAGCGTGCCAGGCATAGGCACATCATCTATCAACAACTTCTGTACGTCACTGCGAAACTTTTGCACGCGAAGACTATCGTGCGTAATACTGAATTTGCATGCTGAACATGAAATCCGCAGAGATTTGTCCGCATATCCAATGCAGTGTGCATAAGCAACATCTGTGTCACATCCAAGTGATCCTTCTGTCCAGGGAGCAAGAATCTCCTGCTTACAACCGCAGCATAGAAGAGACTTTGCCGGGCTTTCGTGAATATTTTCCCAGGGATGACCCGTTCTTGTCTCGAAATTCATCAGAGCTTGACTGCCCGGGTAAAAGACATGTGTCTCATCGTCGATAGATGCGTTTATTACATCCCATGGCATCCCAGTGGCCCAGATACTCATTTTAGATTGACGCAGACAATCCTCGAGAAAGGCACGCGGGTTAAGCATAAATGCATGCCAGACCATTATGACATCTAGATGGCAAATTAGAAAACGTTTACGCAGCTCCGAGGTTTAGAATAGCTTACCAAGTGGTGGCATCATATTGGCAGACCATACTATTTTGGCTTCAGATGAACTATTCAGGGTTGAGATGCGACTGGTATTGAGACTTGGTAAACAAGTCTGCCACCAAACAGTAAATCGGTCCACAGCTCTGGCCACATAGACCGCCCATCTCTTTTCTCGAATTCGGGCGGCTGCCTGGGCTTGCTTGCGCGTGTCTGCAAAGTTCTTGGCCTCACTATCGTGGATTCCGAACAGTTTGTCTGTTCCTTTAATGAAGTATCGGAGTTTAGCGATCGCGGATAGAAACTTCAAATGGATGATACATTCATCAATAGCCACCGTCTCTTCAGATCGAGGAAATCCATCGAGGGACAGTCTGTGTGATACGTTTTGTTGTTGGTAGCTCGGTGGTACATCGCTGGGCTCGGTTATAGAAGAATATGGTGGAGGGTTAGATACTGCCTCGGCACTTGCTTCTGCACTCTTGCTACTGTGGTTAATATTTGGACTTCCCATTTTCTCAGAATCAATGGTAGAAGAGAAGATGCAAGGGAAGAAAAGAAAAGAGAAATGTAAAAGTTCAACATACCCCAGGAAAGGATCATCGCATTCTGCCGCGTGCGCGTAACATAGCCACAAGGGTTTCCAAGTGGGGGCTAGGAGGCTATAGAGACATGATGCAATGCCAAGAGGCTAGTACTTTTTCGTGTCTTGGCTTTTATATCTAGGCAGAGACCATTCGAATCGGAACAGCCAGGTAGTAGTGACACTGAACCTCTTATACAGAATCAAGTAGGTACATCCCTCTATCAGGAGAGGAATATCTAACAATCTACGAACATATGGGAAACCAACCAGACCATCGAAACTCGGTAGAAAACCGCTGGAATTATGCCCCCCCAAATGTGTGTTGGGCTGTTCGCCTCAGGCCTTTATTCATATTAGAAGGCTAACATTCAAATATGTAGCTTTGTTAAATTATCATACCTTGCACTATGTGCCGAATATACATGTTTTTGTACGTCAAGTTACTAAGAACATGTGGGAGTTCTGCACCTGAGTCGATTCATAGTGTGTGAGTTCTCTAGTTGAAGGATTAATGACGAATGCAATACTTAAATTATTATTTTTAAGTCATACGTTATCTTATTAAACAAACCAGATCCTACTCTGGGAAACCGTGTTTGCTATACTTACTAGGTCTCAGCCGGCACGCTTAGGATTATAATTCTCATCCATCGTTTTGGGCCCAACACCATCGGCCTCTCATGGGTTCAACAGGGCGTTCCAGCTATGTAAGATTGGATAGATCCATCATCAATGGTAAGGCGTCGATGGGGCCAAAGCTTCTCGCCCCGGGGATTTGCGTAACATTTCCTAAAATGGAACACATGAAGTGGCCTTTCATATTTTTTTTTTACAACGATTGTTTATTGAACAGTGATGAAAAAGCCGCACAAACGTTAGCATTGATCCAACTCTCCATCTCATGAAGTAATAAAGTTTACGGAAGTTGGCTTCTCAATGAACTTGTCGATACGACCCCGCAAGGCTACGCCCAGCGATGATCTTCGCGATGATCTTCGCCAAGTCAAGTTGTACTGCCATTTGTTGTGTTTTAAGCGACACCCTCTATCTACCTTCGACCTTCAGCATTCGACCTTCGAATAGACTGGATCCTCATTATAAAATTCTTCAATTCTTTTGGATTGTATCTCATTTCGTGACTTGCCCTCATTAAACTACCAACATGACCAACGTATCAGCCTTTGAAACCAGTTAGCCTAGGCTAAGCCTGCGTATCATTGCGGTGATTTTGGCTATCATGCCAATGCCACTCTTTGGAGCATTATGGCAAAACTACGGTTGGGTATACTATATTATCGTTCGTGAACCTGGACATCTAAATGTCAATACCATTTCTTGAGGCTACAGGGGGATTAAGAACCACAGATCGGCATCCTAGGAATATGGTCCCTGATCAACTCTGTCCTGATTGCCCTCGGGTGGCCTCTCCACCACGACGCCCAAACTGCTATGGATTGCATCTTCAAAGTTGATCCATGGTTTTTTGGTATACTTGGCTGTATACGCGAGATTCCGTCGTATTACCAGAGAGACGAATATGCAAATGGCTTGCAATGGAACATGGCTGATGCTGCTTTATCACTCACGAGATGGTTGTCAATTGGTAAGTTTTCTACCATACAAAAGGCTTAATATACGCCATGCACCAATAGATCCAATCATAGTTTTGTCCATTTCGTTCCTTTTGTACTCGGTTCCTGTGATGTGCACTGGAGATGTCATGCTTCATCCTTCAACTTCAATCCGTAGAAGGGAAATATCAAAGGCACACCCTAGCTTTGACAACTCTGAAGCACGTACGAAGGAAGCGGACACAGAAAGCTTGTAGAATATGTGATAAGCTGATATTGTATTTATCTACCTTACGTGGTTACGAGTCTACACCAGTCACACAAATGTTTCCTCGCCATAGTCACCCGCTGTCGACCTAGGTTCACCTTCACTAAATGCCTTTCACCTTCATGTGTACAGGAATCTTCATGGCACCTCCGTAACATTACGCCTGATAAAAAGGGTGGAATGTCTATGCACCTGTTTTTGGCTGCCTAATTACTACCTGACCCTCGTGACTTTAATCATTTAGATCAATATGTCCCTTCGGGCCTTCAATCTCCTCACCTAGCTCATCAACCAAAACCCGTCTCTTCAGCCGGTCAGATGGTATGGCGTCAGGGGATACTCCGAAGTCGAGAACCTGCATGAATCAGCAACCTATAAACGGGATATTGATTCGAGCGTGCACTAACCTCGATATAAGTCTCGACTTCGCGTTGAACTGCTGCAACACAACGTTGGGCATCGAACTGGACTTGCCAGACACCGTTGAGGTCGGTGAGGAGGTCCCTTTCAAATTCACCAGTCCGTATGTCCCACAATTTCACATTACTATCGGAACCGGATACTATCTTTTGACCATCTTGCTGGAAGCTTGTGATCGGTCCAGTATGACCGCTCAGCACGCTCTGACAATGTCCATTGTCAGGGTCATAGACTCTAAGTGTAGCGTCTGCAGCAGCCGAGACGAGTACATCTTCTTTCAAATCCAGTAGGCCCACCAACAATGTGTGACCTTCAAGATTATATAACAACGCACCTGTATCAAGAGACCAGATCTTAACCACATGGTCCATTGATCCACTGATACAGCGGTTCCTCTTGTGGTCCAAAGATACGCTATAAACCTTCATTGTATGGCCTTCCAGCCGGTGTAATGACTCTCCGGTGGATATTTTCCAAATTCGCACGGTACAATCGTAGCTACCGCTGACCAGGATATCCCCGTGTGCTGCAAATGCTCGCACGGAATGTTGGTGACCAGTCAATACCCGAATGAGATATGGACACTCCTCATCGCTTTCAGCAGGCGGGAAATACCCCGAGTCGCCTGGTTGAGGAAGTTTCCAAACCCGCAGCGTCGAATCACGGGATCCCGAAATTATTAATGGTTGTTTAGGCATCATTACTGGAGTACCGTCCGGATGCTGGTCAATTTGAACTGGCAATAGTATCTGTAAGTTCCGTACTGTGGATGTGTGACCTTGGAACACATGAGTGCACTCGGCTCTCGCAATGTCCCATACTCGGATGGTGCAATCTGTCGACGCAGATACCAGAGTGTTGCCATGGTATTCGAGGCCCCATACGCCACCTTTGTGGCCTTTTAATGTTGCTCGAAGCGCCCCGGTGTTGGTGTCATACACGCTGATTTTGCTATTGTCGCTACCGGTTATAATCTTGTCGTCGTCGAATTGTAAACAAGTCACGACATGTCCATCGTGTGCTTGGAAGGCAAGATGCGTCGGTTTTGTATTCTTCCACATGAGGTTCTATTTAGGAGAGCACAGCGAGTGCCTTTGTTTGCTCAAGAGGTTGAATTAGAATGGAAAGAAACAAAAAAGAAAAAAAAAAGAAAGAGAAAAGGATTGAGTGAGATTGCGGGGTATCGACCAAATCAACGTGAGACGGGGGTTAGCCAGTTGGCGCTGGGCACCATCGCGCCTTGCTAGGGGACACACTAGGGGGCATGTTGGTGCCGCTCCGGGGGATGTTGGGGTGCGCTGCCCCCCGAGGCCACGCCTGAGTCCAACACGTGACTTGGTATTCAAAACGACCAAGTCCCTCAAAGAGTCGAAAAGTCACTCAGGATTTGACCAAAGTGGCCCACTTTGTATGGTGTTTTTGTCGTGCACGTACCAGCTCCATACAAAAATTGTCCCCCGGAACAATTTCTAGCCACTTTAACTGTTGTATGCAGTTTTATCACCAAAATGGGGTCGGTGGGTATGTGTAGAGATGGCGATAACTCGTCTCCGCATCTTCTCTGCTAGTACATATATCAATGTTGTAGAAATTGCCATTAATCCCTTTCACTATTACTACTACTACTATATTACTACTACTACTAGTAGTAGTGGTAGTATATACAATTAGACATAACATAACAATAACAAGACTCAATATACATCAAAAAGAGTTGATATGCGCCATCTAATCTAAAATACCAAGATGAGTCAAGCTGTTGCTCTATTTCATTTTCTCCTTGCGCTCTTGTTGCACTAGTCGCCTCTCAGCACTAATACACTGCACACACTCGCGCAACCGTCGGGGGTAGCTGTCAGTATGAATCGGACATTGGACCACATGACCTAAACGGATACACCGCTGGGTCGGAACATGCGTAGGTCGTTTCTTGAGACAGTGGTGCTTGTCGTTGACCTTGACTTCGGGCTGTCTCTCGACTTTCGTTGCGATGTTGTTCTCCTTCAAACCGTGACTTCTTTTTTTACCTCTACCCTTGCCCTTGTTCTTGCCCCTACCCATATCGAGAGTCGGAACCTAGTAAGGAAGTAAACAAATTCCTTGAAAGTCTGTTCGGATGTAAGCTGCCAGTTCTTGGTGCTGTAATCGATCTGGAGAGCTAATTTCAAGAAATTCAACTGTTTTTATACTAAAGGTCATTTCTTCGTTCGGTATGTACCGTGTAGGAGATATCCGCAGATCTAGCATCTTGTTAGAGTATTCTGCATAGTATCTTTATTTCTTTGTTTACCGGAAGCATCCCGAAACTAGTGAAATATGTAACGTTCTTTGATACGGAATCACTGTGGACATCATCAGTGTCATATATCAAAGACGCGAGAGGGTTTGAACAAAGCACTGGGTAGGCCTTTGCGAAGCCGAGGCACCTAATAGGACATGGTCTCTATCAACTTCGTGTTGCTTCCTCATACATTCCATACAAAGCCATTGATTACTTGTAGTTCCTGTTTTGGTCTTCGCTGAGTGCATCCTTTCATTCTAGGATCTACTCTATCTTGGATTTTGTCTCACTATCTCAATGCAAAGCACTTCTCGTAGCTCCCTTCTCCCGCTTTCTTTTTCTTTGTAGATGATCATTCTCTAATGAAAAAGGCATTGAAAGTTAGTGGTTTCAAGTAGTCCGCAAATTCTTGCATTGATTTCATCTAGAGTGTACAATTTTATCTAGATGTACCTGGCATGGCAACTGGATAACAAATATTAAGGGATGCTCCCTGGCGAAGATGAATGCGTAAAATAACAATTCATTAATCCTGAGAGTATGAGAAATCGAAGAAAAAGAAACTGGAATAAAGAAATCATCCAATCATCATGGGTTCTTCGTAGAAGAGCCCTATACTAGGCCAAAAAAAATCATACACGAAAAAATACAAACAAAAGCAAAAACCAAGAAATGAAGGCTCATAACTCCATCCCATGTGCTCCTTGGGTATCTCGACGAACGCTAAGAAACGCAAGAGCAAACCGCGACTATCTGTAGATCATCAATGCGTCAAAATTAATTTGCTGCCTTCTCCAAGTTCGGTGGAAGTGGTCGACCTTCTCTGTAAAACAATACATCAGAATTGCTTCCTACACACACCGTAGACGAAAGAGTACCGTGACATACCTGAGATATTTCCTCTTCAAATTGCGAGCACGATCTTTGCAATTCACCTGCGAACGACGCTCAAGCATGGGACCACCATCAGGCGGCGGGCAAGCATTATCTTGCTTCTTTATGGCAGCGTAGGCAGTACCATAAATCCCCATAAGGTGGATCAGACGCTCATCTTCTTCCTCTGTCCATCTGTGGCTAGCCTTTGGGACCCTGCGATTGGTCATCGCAGCCTGGGAATTAGAGGCTGCCCAGCGACTCTGGGTGCTAGGTGGTTCATGCTGCTCAACAGTGGTCTCTTCATCAGTGACATCGTCACTATCAGCTGTCTGCGCTCTTGGAGAACTTTGCGATGAGTTATAGTTGTGGTGGAAGGATTTATTGATATTCGATTGCAACTGTTGTCCGGCAGATACGGCATTGTCGTCGGGGCGCTGTCTCTTCGCAGCAGGCAAATTTTGCTGAGGCTTTTCGACTCTGCGCTTAGGATCCACGGTTTGATTATTCTGCTCGAATTCAATGTCTGACTCGTCGCTTGAGTCATCATCTGGGTCATCAACATTCCGATTTCGCTTGCCCAACACAGTGAAATTCCCTGCATCTTGAGTGTCATATTGGCTGATCGGCGACACCACTCCAGCGTTACTCTGCTTATCGAGGAATCGCCGAGCGACCGGAACCGATCGCTGTGTATTTTCATCTCTCGGAGAATCGAAGAAACGAGGGTTGTGGCTGACATGGCTGATTCTAGCGGAGTTAGGAGGACTGGTCGATGTCATAACATCAGGTTCTGGGCCTTGGCCGAGGTCCAATTCCTCGTCATTGTTTACATATGTAGAGTCGTCGATGTCTGTGTATCTCAGCTCATGAGATTGTTGAGCTTCAAAAGAGCCGGCGGCAGATGGGCTGGGATTAATCGGTTGGGCCGCAATACTTGTGTTCGTAGAAATATTTCGCGTCTGCGATTCTACGCCCGAGGCAGGTTGTTGATGGCTAGTAGCCTGGCGCCTCATCAGTGCCGCGAACGAGGCCGGGTCTCGGAAGTTGCTATGGATGAAAGTTAGTAGCCATAGAGAGTGTGTGAAACCGTAGAGTGAGCGTACCTTTTGGACTTGCGCCGACCCGGATCTTTCGCTGCCAGCCGTGGGGCTTGGTCGGAGACACTTTGTTTAGGACCTTTTTGAGGAGTGGTGCCTGACCGAGAAGCGTTTTTTTCAGGTATTTGGTCCGCCTGGGCTGCTTGTTCTGCCTGCTCTGCCCGAGGTGCCATATCTGAATATGGTGCTACGTTCACTAATCGTCCTTTCTGAGGAGACTGAGACTGTTGGGGTCCCCGACGAGAGATGTCACCACTTGGAGGCACTATCGATTCTTGACGCCGGCTGGGAGTCCCAGCCGAGACGGAAGTAAGGAGACGAGTTGCGGGTGAATTATGGACTTTTTCTGCCAGACGTCTGATGTCATCCTTGATTTCTCTGTCACGAGTGTAGATCCAACGTGCAAGGTCCCGCTCAAACGATCGCCACCTGTATGCCTTTTTCAGACCATCAATGTCAACGGAATCCCACTCGGAAAGTTCCTCGTAAAGCTCATTGAACCTATCGCTGACGGCGATGAGAAACTTTTCAGGAAGGTGTTCGGGGAGATGGCCATCGTCGTCCTGTAAGACACCCGGCAAGTTGAACCCACGGAACGAGCCGGGGATACTCTGCGAGTCATCTTCGATGGGCGTAAGGTCCATAGCAAATACCTGTCTTAGGATGGACAGTGGGCTGAAGTCTTGCTCATGTTGGCGCCTTTCTAACTCCGTGATGAAAAACTGTGTGCGGATACCCAATGCAAGATTGAAGGTGGCCTCAGCTGTGTTACTCGCACCAATTGCCCTTGACATAGAACTGTCCGCAAGGTTGCTCATGAGACACGCAGGAAACTCGGTATCCAGTTGTTGGATGACCTCTGACTGGGACTCCGTACCGATGCTGGGGAGGAACATGTTGAGGGTTAACAAAGCGCAGTTTGTCATGTAGATATCTGAGATTGACGCGTCCAGTTGTGCGGATGAAAGCAAACGACGAGCCTGAGAGATGTCCAAAAAAGACTTGCCATCACGAGAAAGAGGAGAGTCTTCCAGTTCATCGGTCAGCCCTTCAACGGACCGCCTCAGGCGTTTGCGGTTCGGGTGATTGGAGTCCAGGAGCTTTTTGGATTCAGCTGCAAGGCTGTCCGGGTTCATGTCCGGGCGAACCAAGAGACTCATCACAAGGGTCGCCTGTTGTTGAACGAACGGCAGGTGGGTCGCGATTTTATCACCGACTTGAGAATCGACAGGCTCCACATCGTTGTGACCCAGGGTTGTACCAGAGACATTGGTATGACCTTCATGATTCTCAGGCGACTCTGGTATCACATGCCTGGGTACAATAAACCCGGGAGAAGGAGTTGAAGGTTCCTCAGCCAGCCCACTCAGATCTGAATGAAGTCAGAACACATTCAATCGTGAAATAGAAGTGATTGAAGCATCGGTGTCAGAAGTGAGGCAACGGTATAACAAAATGGAGTAAGTATCGAGCGAGTCGCGGATTGAGGAATACACAACTATGCACCCTTTTTAATGCACAGTTGCCTGAGCCACCCACTGTCCGACATGCTGCTGCCCCACACCTAGATAACTGGAAATTTACCTACAATTTCGCTCTAAAGAACCTTTATTTGGCATAAACCCTGCATTGGCCTCCCGGCTCTGGCTCCGCGTCATGCGGGACCCCGTGATGCGAGCCATGGAAGGCGGTGGGGAGTGTCGGGCAGGACACGTGCGTCAACTCTCTACACGCGTTGTTGTTATGGGTTCTTTTTCGCCCTCTGATGGAATTTGATGGACCTGAAGAAAAACAGATGAGATGAGAAGATTTCCGATGGCTGCTTGATGGGGTGGATGTCGAATGCGATGGAGTGTTGAAGCGTTCAGGGGACGGAGGAGCGGGTGTCAGGGTTTTCGGGGCTGCTTTCCACGGGAAAACGGAATATTAATAACGCGCGGTCCGCTAAGCTGCTTTAGGTAATATTGATGCCTTACGTGACAAGCTTCCATCAAGGCCTTGAATACATGGCTGGAAACCCTAACCCAAACCCAAACCCTGAACACTAAACCCTATTCTCTACCCAGGCCCTATTTCGATACACATTTTATTCACCGAATAGCCGCGAGTGTTTGGAATCAAAAGCTACATTAACCTTTAGATTTGAATGAGAGTAGAATGATCTCTTATTTCTTACCACTTGGAATGCATGAGGAACTAAATATTAACAATGTGACATTGGCGGATAAATAGAATACCGAAAGTATCCAGAGCCATTAAAATAGGATCGCTACTTCATGAATTGTTATATCTACCTGCTTAGAACGAAGTAGCGATATCGATCAGTGAGGTTTGTTCCTGTGAGATTTGGCATTGGAGAGAAAAAGATAACATTGTGAACCTGGCCATTGCGTGGGCCAGACACGTAATTATATTAAAACAGCACTGGGTATGTCACAAGATGCATACATTCGACTTTTACAACAAATCAACCGCCAAAAACCGTGAAAATAAGTTTCCGTGGACACATACAACCGCGGAGATGCACCGCTTTAAAATATGGCTTCAATAAAGTATATGACGCCAAACACAAGGAATGCCACAGCGCCGCCCAGAGTTACTATAAAATGCAAGATTAGAATGTGCAATGGATCAGAAAGCTAGTAGGGGATACTTACCAACACGCATGCTGACACGACCAGCGATGGCCCGTCCTCCGATCACGGCGGCTGCGGTGCAGATTCCGTGACCAGCACTGGCTCCAATGGTCACCCACCAGTAGTCCTGACCAGCTGCCATGGCGATAGTGGCAATTTGGCTGCGGTCGCCCCATTCACCAAGGAAGGTCATGACAAAGGTCTGAACCCACGCGGGGCTGAGAAGCAGCGAAAAGAGGTTGCTCAATCCGGAAAAGACATCGTTCAACCGCTGTCGGGGTTGGGGGGAAGAGCCACGGGACGAGGATGAGGACAGGCTCTCCGGGGGTGAAGGTAGACGGTTTCCGGAGCCGCGAGTCTTGGGACGGCCTCCAGCGCGACCAGCTTCGAGATTGTGAGGAGTAACCGAGGAGCGACGGCGGTTCATGCGCAGCTGCTCGTGCTCCTTCTCTTCGAGCTCCGCCTCAACCTCTCGCATTTCTTCGCCCACACCCTCATCTGGAGACATTTCGCGACCTTCCTTGAGCATCTTCACGCCAAAAATTACGAACAGAATGGCAGCCATAAATTTGGTGAACGTTTTAGGGATAAGAGTAGGAACTGCATGGCCCAGGACCGCCGAAAGAACAGTCATCATAATCAAGGCACTAAATGCAGCGCTGAACACCACCAAGCGGGGGTGTCTCATGGCCATCAACGCAGCCACAAGGAAAGTCTTGTCGCCGATTTCAGATACGAGGATCATGGTGAAGGAGAATACAAGGGAGTGTAGTGAGCTGCCGGCATCATGGATATCAGAGTCATGGTCGTGGTGGTGGTCATGGTGGTCGTGACCGTGGCTCGACGAGGACGAGGATGAACTCGAAGACGACCCCGAAACGACCGAATCGTGCCCAAGGCCCAGAGGATCATCCTTGACCACAGCCGGGGGCTTGGGGTATGGGATATCGTGTGGCTTTTCAGGGAGGTCAGCGGGTTTCTAGATGCACATTAATTCCACTTGTTCAATGAAGAACCTCGAACTCGAGCGAATATGTAGGAAGACTTACCCCGACTATACCAAGGCCACCCGGACCCTCCGCAGACCGACTTCCACTTCCGGTTGTTGTGTCGTCGCTGTCAGAGCCCAGCTTCTTGGTCTCACTATGCGGCAGCGGAGGCGCTTCCTTTGGCCCCCCCGGAACTTTTTCGGAGGCCAATTGGCTCTCCTTTCTTTTCTCAGAGACACCGCCCTCTGTTCCTCGTGTTCCCTCTTTCGGGCCCGCCCGATGCGGGTCATCCATAACGCCGCCATTTGAATGCGGGATCATCTTCCCTTCTTCGGTGCTCAGGTGTTCCGAAGAGGGGATCTTGGTGTCATATTTGATAGAGACCGGATCAATATCATCGCTTCCCTGGACACCTTTGCGGTCCCGGTCTGCATTGGTTTCCACCCACGGACCAGCGTGCGGTCTGCCATCCTTGCCATCCACAGGTACGTCCGGCGCCCCTTTGGCGACATTAGATGCGACTATATCCGAGTCGACGAGGCGAGCATTGTTGCCAGCTGTCTCACGCGAGACTCGAGAATCTATGTTGTCATTGTATGTTGTATCGGCGAGAACCGCCGAAATTGCGGGAAGAAGGAAGAGAAGGAAGGACGACTGGTTGATCTTCATGATGAGCGGTGGTTTCTCCCGCAGAAAGAGTGAATGATAGTTGAAATTGGCGATCTGAATGTATAAATGATAATCTTTCACAATCAGGAAGGAAAAAAGAGGTGGAACCGATATCTAAAGTGGGAGAAATCTTCGATAGATGCCACGACACTAAGTCGCGTGAGAGGTTTGATCGAGACCAGACAATTTTTCAAGGATGAGGATGGATGTCGGAATGAATGTGAAGTAATAAGGAATAAGTAGAGATATTAAGATGATGTATAAGCAAATAACAGAATTCAAAGCGAAGAAAGAGCATTAGCCTTCGCCCTTCATCTTGAACTGCCAAAGGGGGCTTGCACGTGACCTCCCGCGAACGGCCCCCCCTGTAATAGAAATCGGCACAATCTGATTCACCCCTGGACGCAATTGGCAACTAGCAATTTTGTGTTGCCAACATGAATGTGCATGATCGGAATGGAAAACCATCTGAGTGGTCTGCTATTTAGTATGCTATGTATGCAATATAAGTCATGTGTTCCCCCACACTGTGCTTCTTGCCTTTGTTTTTTTATTTGGATGTATAGAACATTTGTGGTGAATTAATATTAGAAACTGGCGATTATCAGGTAAAAGGTAAAATAAGTCTAATTTTGTAAATAGAATAGAGTAGATGTTGAGCTATTTTAACCCCTGTAGCCCTAGAGGTTGCGGAGTATATAACCACCTACCCCGGGCCTTGTTGCTGCTAAACCACGAAACATTAATTAATAAATAACCCATTCTAGTTAACGTATAGTACCCCTTATTCAACACTTTACTATTCGTTGTTCTTAGACTCATAGGGACTTGAGCATATGGGTAGCCCCCGGGGCGATGGCTTTTTTTTATATATTTTTTTAAAAAATAACTGGATAATAACTGGAGACAACCCCGGTAATTCCTAGCCTGGCAGCGACCATAATGGATCATGATACTCATGAACTGTGCTACCTTTGACCCCTGGTGCTACAAATGTAGATACTCCGGTATCCTGATTGTAGCTTTCAAATGTCGCAGCCAACCGTTTCCCTCCACCCCCTGGAAGGTCTACCACAAATGAGGGCGTCATGAACCCAGCAATCGTACCCCGGACATGGGATTCAATATGGAGGATATCGCGCAGTGGTGTACGCAGATCCTCGACACCCTTGACCATATCGCCCTGGTATACATAGTACTAGGGGCATCCAGTCAGCACACAGAGTCAATATTAGAGCGCATAACCATACTGGTTGAATGTTATTATCTGCCAATCGACGAACCAGCGACTTCATTGTGTCCACATCATTGTTCACTCCATTGAGTAACACCGTCTGATTTCTCACTGTGACCGCGTTCTCAAATAATCTCTGCGCTGCTCGTTCCGTGATCCAAGAGATTTCCTGTGGATGGTTGAAATGCGTATGTAGCGCCACGCTCTTCCCTCGTTTTCTCCCCAGCTCGCTAATCTCAACCAGGGCCTCTGTCCATTTGTCACTTGGATCCAAGATCCGCGAAGGACATACCGACAGCCCTTTGCTGGCAAACCGGATGCGTCGCACATGCTCAATCCCTAGAAGCTCGTGCCCGATCTCACGCAGCTGTGCAGGCTCCAAGAAGAACGAATCCCCGCCGGATACCACAACGTCCGTCACCGCTAGGGTCTGCGCAATGTACTCAAACATCGGCTCCCAGTATTTCCGTAGCGGAAGGAACCGTTTCTTGGAAACTGTCTCGGTCTTCGCCCCGACGGAATACGACCGCGTGCAGAAACGGCAGTAGACCGGACATACTGAGCTCGCTGACCATGCAGTTAGTCTTTTTCGGTAGTTATAGGTCTACAGAGAAGATAAATACCTAGAAATAGTACCTTATCTGGGTATCGGTGGACTAGCCCTTTCACAGGTGAGTCTCTACTCTCATGCAGCGAGTCAAGCTGAAGTTGGGGATGGTCTGGCTGCAGCGAAGAGGCAAGAGGAATGAACTGCCGCCGGATCGGGTCCGAGTAGGGATTGTCCCAGTTAATGAGAGACAGGAGATATGGCGTCAGACGCGTGGCCATGGGGGCACGTAGCATACCCGCTGCAACATCGGACACGAAGGTTCCTTGCGTTGTGATCTGCCCGCGTGCTGTTGGGACAGTGGAAGGTACGACGGAGTTGAGAAATGCAAGCAACGAAGATGCATTTTCTAGAGAATTTTTGGTCTAGAATTCTGTCAACCCACTAGATATAGACAACGGCTCTCGTATTCACACCTGCCACTTGTAGTCGAGAAATTGAGTTTCTGTAGTATCGCGCCAGGCTGGGACCTTTCTCCAGAACTCAATTTGCGCAGTGGATAAGGACTCTGAGCGGGCTTGCGAGTTGCTGGTAGAGTACCATTGGTGTCGAGGGAGTCTCAATTGAACGCCAACTCGTAGCCTCCTTGTGTAGAGGAACATTCCTTTCATTGATAGGATTGTTAGGGGTGGAAATTGGCACACTTGAAGAACAGAAGAACATGCCCGGTGGAAAGTGCGATAATGTCGATTATCCTGAATACTTACAACCAGAATCTACCGAGAGACCGCATTTCTTGTTCAGGATTCCCCGCTAGTATTCAGTCGACAGCCCCTGTTTGTTATTCGTAATCCTACAAATGTGGCTACCTGAGCTGCTGCATTTCGTCATCGTCAAAAATAACAAAAATTGGGAAACAAGCATATTATTGATGAGTCTTCGATCGACGTCACTTATGTGCTCAGATACCACCAATCTCGTCACAGTCCACCGATTTGATCGCCGAACACCCCGGATATCCTCACTATACAAGTTGTAGGGATGGGCTACCGATCATCTGCAGTTCTATGCATGTATAATAGTGTCACACCGCCATTTCAGGGCCTATGTCTACAATCGGTCTAGTCATTCTCCTAACAAAGGCATGGGTTGACCCATCATATTGACAAATTAGTGATTGCTTCAGAGATCCATGGCTGGTAAACCAGACTGCATGCCAAGCATCCCCCTCTAGAAAAAGGGTCTTTGCCTGTCCCGCCGGCCCTCTTTAATAACAATTACACCTCTGCCGGAATAAGAAGGAATGATCAAAATGAAACCACTTGTGATCCCCTTCTTCTATGAGAGTTTCTCTCTCTACCGATCGCGCGGGTATAGCGTCGAGGACTGCATCGAACTAGACAAGGACGAAACCATCGATGCCATAACGCAGTCCTTGCGAAAGAATGGCTTCGAGGTTGTTCCAGTCGGTGACATGAAGGAACTGGTACATTGTATTGCCAGAGGGGAGCACGAGAAGTGGGATTTGGCATTTTCGATCTCCGAGGGAATGCACGGGGTTGGGCGGGAAGCCCAGATCCCAGGACTCTTAGAGGCATACCAGATTCCGCATGTGTTTTCCGATGCGGCAACTTTGTCGTTGTGTTTGGATAAGGGCAAGACAAAGGTATCGTGTCATCAGTCTGCTAAAGGAAGCCTACATGGCACTGACATGTTAGATGGTGCTCGAACACATGGGCATCCCGACTGCTCCATTCGCCGTTGTCCCTCCGTCATGGTCCATCGAAAAGGGTATCTCGCAGATCTTGGAACAAAGTCGCCATACTGCCGATCTGAAACAGATGCCTTTATTTATCAAGCCCGCATGTGAAGGATCCTCCAAAGGCATCTATTCTTTCTCCAAAGTTGAGAGCATAGAAGATCTTGAGCAGGGTGTTCAGAAGCTCCAGACTCGGTTCCCGGGACAAAGCATTTTGATTGAGAAGTATCTAGCCGGGCGAGAATATACCACCAGCATTCTGGGATCCGGGGACTCCGCCCGAGTCATCGGGACAGTCCACCACGACTGGAGAGGAGTTGCACCACCACCAGGGACGGAAACAGACTACAGTGCGAAGAGCCAATCTGATGTCGGCTTTTATAACTTCCACAACAAGAACAAGCTTCTAGAAGACCCGGTAGATCGCATGGCTGACAAGGAGGATAGCTCTGAAGTTCAGGAAGTAGAGCGCCTCGCCCTGGAAACCTGGCGCAAACTTGAATGCTGTGATGTTGGTCGGGTTGATGTTCGGTGCGGCCTGGATGGGAGACCATATGTTTTGGAGGTGAGTGGCCTGTATATGATGCATTGGTTGGTTGCTGATATCATTACCTTGTCAGCTTAACCCTATTCCAGGATTACGTCCTCAATGGTCTTGGCTGGCGGATACCGCCCTCCATCACGGGATTTCGCATGAGGAGCTGTTGGGCACAGTAGTTGAATGTGCACTGGAAAGGTATCCGGAATTAGACTCAAAAAGGCGTGGAATCTCTTCCGGTGCCTAGAATAACAACATAGTAATAAATTCAACCAAAATCAACAAGGACTGTCAACCAGGCGTGGATAGGGAGGCTCTTAAGATGATGAAGCCTATAAATGTCTGGCGGACCCGAAGAGGGCTTTCAGTAGGGGAAAAACGGGCTAAGATCAGGACTTGGACATGCTATCAAGTCGGTACAACAAAAGCTAGTAAGTAATCGCTCTGGGTTAAATTTGTAAGACCCAAGGTTGATGAAAATGCTAGACGACAAGGGAGGTGCGGCTCAAGCCTGGAGTCCGGGGAGTGTACTTCCCAGGGATCCCGGGCCTATCCCGAACATCCTGAATAATACATTGTTCTGTTATGCAGTTCTGGACTATCCGAGGGTTATTCCGGCAATACACTCTATAAGAGACATTAGCAGCACATTGTCCCATGAAGTGTATTGGCATTACCCACTCAACTAGAGCGATCGTTTGACTGGCCAGGGTTAATCAAGAGTGTTTCGCCAATAAGAATGGCAGACTGCTATCAAGTGATAGAGTGCCTCATCTCCGATTAGCAAGTCCTTTAATCCGCCCCGCATATCAAACAAATGGCAATACCACGAATTAGAGAACCCTAAACCGAGCCTGTCGATCTCATCCGAGAACTAACATAACTAACATAAGGTGGCGTCCCCCGAAGTCGTACTATCCGTGGGGATGCGACTGGCTTGTTTAATCCTCCTCTTCTAGACATGATGTATAAGGTTGCAGATCAGTAGCCATAGTTTGACCCATGACGCCACGCAAGCTCAAGCACCAACGAAGATACCAAAGCTGGGGTTCCTTTCCCCCGCAATTGGACATCTGCACAATGACGACAGCCAACACCTCCCGCCGGTCAGCTGAGATAATTTCGAGGGCTTAAAAACTATCATTTGAGCGTTGACAGACACTAGAATTTGTCAACAGACATGTTCATGGGCCGGGCAGACCACGCGAAGTGAAACTCTCGCGACAAGCGCCGGATTTGAGTGGCTTGGCATATACCAGGAATGGCCGGGCGCAGTCGGCGATTGGGAAATTCGAGTGCGATTAGTCTTTCACTGTAGACTGCTGACAGGTATTAAATGTGTGTTTAATATATGTGAGTGTACTCCGTAGTATTGTTGCTTTTGACGTTATCTTGCGTGTGATATGCGTGGCTTAAGGATCGACCTATTGACGCGGACTGTTGACCCATTTGGTAACAACATAAGCGGCATATTATTGTGGCATAGCATTCCCCGAAAACGGTGCTTATCAGACCCTGCGTCATTCTCAGCAATCCACTAGTTATGTATAAAGTACATGTCAGATTTGCATGTATGCAGAAAGATATTTTATAAAATCAGAAAGATAGTACCACGGGGGTACTTGATTTAACCTTGATCATCGTATGACACCTACGGTACTCCTGAGTACTCTGAGACATCTCACCGCCTCCCCCCACTGCCACATGGGATCGTCGATCACATCACCTTTTTCTTTGTCTCAGCTTTTTGGTCTTTTCAACATTTACCGCGTGATATACCTAAGAGCTTATCGCATGGGCCCTAAGAATCGCTAGGACACTATATATCGGCCGTCTGCCACTTGCCAGATCTTTTGTTCTATTCTACTTCGCTTTTCGTCTTTCGCGCTTGATTAAGCTATGCCTTTAAGTGGAGCTCATCTGCTGCCTCTTGCGTTAATCCAGAAGCGTTGATCGCTTCCGCAAGACCCAGCGACATACACTTTACTTGTCCTTCTGTGGGAACTAATCCCGTTACTGCTAGCACGTCGTCTATAATTGCTAGTTTTACCAGCAGCATTTTTGGGCTTGTCACTGGATTCCGGTATCCCCTGGTGGTCATCTGAGATAGCTGTGAGTGACTCCCCCGGTGCCTCCTAGTGACTTTGAGGGATTGCTCTTTTGTTGCGTAGATGCAAAAGACTCTGGCTAACATGGCGTGTTTAGCACACTTGTTTTGCAAACGCAAACGCGATAGGCCGAATACCTCATTCGTGGTTCTCAAACAGAACATGACATCACCAACAGAGGACCATTCTGCTACAATGGAGGAAAACGCGGGAGTCGAATCTATCCCGCAGCAGCCAGCTGGTTCGCGATGGAGACGAGTCTTTGGAGGAAAGACCAAAGAAGATCCCGAGTCTAGCGAGGATCAGACTTATCGTGCTAAATCGACACTGGGGATCTTAAGCGATAAAGAGACTGACGAAGTTCCCGGTGAGTAGAGAGTCCTCCATCATCGAGGGAAGCGATATTGTGAAACGGGGACTGACAACTGGCTGGTGTGGTTTAGGAACGGTACTTCTCTTATCATCAAATCGCAATGAACCTCTGGGAATGAGGCACCAACCGCATCGTACATCGACATCATCTATATCCTCGTCTTATCGTCCCTCGCGATCTAATTCTCGAACCCGGTCGGCGGTTCCAACGCAGAAAAGAACAGCGGACGGACAATTTGTGCTTGATCCCCAACCGGATGACTCCTTAAATGACCCTCTGAACTGGCCTGTGTGGCAACGAGATTCTGCCTTGGTCTCGCTAGGCTTCTATTGCTTGATGGGAGGCGGCATGACCCCCATTTTGGCAGCTGGGTTTAACAAGGTCGCAGCTGCATACGATGTCAGCACGCAACAAGTGGCTTTCACCACCGGGTTCTATATGCTAGGCTTAGGCTTGGGGTCTGTCGTGATGTCGCCCACAGCCATTTTATATGGGAAACGACCGGTTTATCTTTTGGGAGCCACCCTGTTCGTGATCTCGGCAATTTGGTGCGCAGCGTCACCGAACTACCCAAGTCTCGTGATCGCTCGTATTTTCCAAGGATTTGCCGTGAGCCCAGTCGAATGTCTTCCGTCTGCTACAATTGCAGAGATCTACTTCTTGCACGAAAGAGCCTATCGGGTGGGCATATATACACTCTTGCTATTAGGCGGAAAGAACCTGATTCCCCTAGTGAGTGCCGCCATCATCCAAGGCCTGAGCTGGCGCTGGGTATTCTGGATCGTCGCCATTATTGTAGGCATGTGTCTAGTGTTGCTTTTTTTCTTCGTACCCGAAACATTTTGGGATCGCACACCTCGTCCGCGTGTGCACAAGCATAAGCGCCCGCGAGGCCCTGGTCGCAGTGTCTCTGACCTCGTTTCCCACGGCTTCCGCGGGCGGCGCCCGTATGTCCAACCCCTGGACGAGTCTGCCGAACAAGCCGATCCAGATCCAGCATTGGCACCGAAAAAATATAAGCATGCGCATGTTGGATTCGCGGATGACCACCCAGAAGACGGAGATCAGGCCGTTGAGACTGAAAAGTCCAATCGTGTTTCCGAGGCCGGCAAGGCTACCAATGGTGATCAAATCACCACTCAACAGCCCACCCCAGCTAATGAGAAAGACGATGACTTCCTCCAGCCACTACCTCGCGCTATTGTGCCTGGCGCACATCAGGATGACCTGGAGACAGCTCGACCTGCCGCCGTGTCCCCTACGAGGACCGAGTCACAAGAGCCTGCGGGGACTCCGCTGCCTGCAACCCTACAATACACAAACCGACTCCGTGAACGCCCGAAGATCCCCTACTCCCAATTACTTCGAGTCTGGAACGGACGAATCGCGCAGGACAGCTGGCACCGAGTTGCCGTGCGACCATTCGTCCTATTTGCCTATCCAGCCGTGCTCTGGTCAACAGTGGTATACTCACTATCGGTCGGCTGGCTGATCGTGCTTTCGGAGTCGGTTGCCCACATCTTCGAGGGCGGGGCTCACTATCATTTTACCGCACTACAGACAGGTCTGATCTACATATCGCCATTTGTTGGCGGTCTCCTTGGAACCGCAGTGGCTGGCAAAGTGTCAGATATCATCGCGCGGTTTATGACCAGACGCAATGGCGGCATCTACGAGCCTGAATTCCGTCTCGTGATGGCAATTCCTATCGCTTTGTCTACTGTCATCGGTCTGATGGCTTTTGGGTGGAGTGCTGAGATCGGCGACTCTTGGATTGTCCCGACTATTTTCTTTGGTTTGATCTCATTTGGTTGCTGCTTGGGTAGCACGACGGCTATCACTTTTTGTGTAGATAGCTATCGCCAGTATGCTGGTGAGGCACTAGTGACACTGAACTTTAGCAAGAGTATGTGTTACAGTATCCTTCGTTCTTTTGTTCGTTTTGTCTGATCTAACATCTTTTTACTTACAGATATCCTCCACGGATTGGTTTTCTCCCTTTTCATCGTGGACTGGCTCGATGCTGATGGTTCACGCACTGTCTTCCTGTCTATCGGCGGTATCCAGCTTTTTTTTATGCTCATGTCGATTCCTATGTACATGTACGGCAAGCGAGCTCGTATGTGGACCGTGCGCAAGCGGCTCATGGAACGCTTCTGATTTGGCTGATTCAATATTCGTGGAACATCTTTTGCACTGCATTTTTTTCTTCTATCGTTGATCATATATACATCGGGACGGCCCCTGCTGTCGGGATTGTTTTAGACATATTTTCCCGATGTCACATTTGGTAGTAATTTATCGTTGGAGCGTTTGAAGGAATGAAGATCCATATAAACCTACCACCGTTAGTTCTCTGCAGCACCACTGTAGTTTTATAATTCAATACTAGACGAGTGTTGGTGAAGGCTGCGTGTGAAGATATGACTATGTACGACAGAATTGGGGATTAATCTTGCTAGAAGTGTCTTCAATCTCCACCTATACTCCTACGCCGGAGAGACGTTCCTAAGAGACCACGAAAAATATCGTATGTTTACATCATTGCTAAATCAAGATGAAAATCTTCAAGTCTGTTCAAAGTTCTGCTCCCTTCCAAGGTTCTGAGGTTCACTATCCGGTTATGAGGTTTTCGGTCTATCTTGTGTGCGGTGTAACGTACTTGGCAGTTAAAACTTCCCATCCACCATTTCAAATTATCAAATGCATGCATTGCCTTCCACGTGTACTCTGTACTACCAGACTATCAGACTACTGTGTTGGTAGGTGACACAAAATTATATAGGTCAGCATTTCATGCTACCGCCCGGCGGACTGTCGCCCTCCACCGTTTATCTGAAAGTAGTGAGTTGCGTCTACATAAATTAGAAATCTAAAGAAGGAACACGTTGTGGTGTTAGAACACGCAGTAAGTTCTTGAATAGTGTAGGTGGTGCAACCGAAATATTCCTGCAATATATAGTGGAGACCTGTTGAAAGACCTCCATCGGACCAGTATAGTACATTAGTAGGCACCATACTTTCAAGATTCCCCAGGATACCATAGTAAACCGCATAGTAACATTGAATTTAATAGGCCCTTGGCGCGATAGCACTCATCTCAACTCACTGTTCCAACGATATTTTGAACTTAATCGAACCATCCGGTTGATTGACACCTTTGGCAACATATCGTTTCATGAAGTAGCTATCAGCAGGAGTTAGTCATCGATATATATCTCCAAGCCTGGGATAAGAGGTGTATTACAAGTGTTTCAGGGTGCCCACAACTTGCTGCTTTATACCCTGCACAAATGCCTGAACAGATGCCAAGCTATCGGGACTGGTTTGACTATACAGGTCCTGTTCGGCTTTGTTGAACCGTGCCGCACAATCGTGGATCATTTGACCGAAGCTGTTAATGGTCTTGTCCAATGATAGTCCAAATTCGAACATTTTGATTGGCACGCAGCTCTCAAATTGACCTGCGTCCTTTTCTACGTTAGCTAGAAATAGTTAAATATGCTGCCACGGGGACATACTAGTTCCTTTGGAAGAGAAAGAAGGTCATTATATCTAAATAGAATAGTCAGGTAATGGTCAGTGATCTATGTTTTGTAAATACTGACATAGATATGATCAAAGAGGCCTCTCGGAAGATGGTCTGCATGAATGGGTTCGGCTTCGAGCATTCGTCGGGGACCTGAAGATCTTGCGAGTACCTAACAATTATAAGCATTTGACAAGTATATTGAGAAAAATCTCAAGAAGATAGCTGTAGGGGCAAGATGAAAGGAGTTTGCATACTCGACCAAGGTGAAGTATATCTCAAAGCCAAGGTTGAGTACTCTCCAATCAAAATAGTCGGCCAGTGTAGGAACCTGGTTCTTTTCCCGGCGTTCAACTGCTTCCGACGTTCCGCGCACAAAAAGCAAGCACTCATTAAGGTATCGTTTAGTGCACACTTGCGTTCATAAACCTCATTAGCTTTATGTTCATGCGCAGGTAACCAGTGCTAAACATACCTGGATGACTCTCCCAAATGTCCACGAATGAGTCTTTGAATGAAGCAATATTAGGATCTGGATGAGTTGCGGACGAAACTTGACTTGGATCGCGAAGAAGCTCTATGAATTCGATAGTCTCATTGCAGTAGTTGATAGCCCCGACAGGGTCATGTGTGAATTTTCCATCGTCAAGGGGTTCATCCCAAGCAAAGATCTAGTTACTCAGTGAAAAGAATGAATTATTCAAGGATAGTGACGCTTACCCAAGAAAGGCTCTTCGCTATTGTGAGAAGCTTTTCATACTTTACATTAGGGTACAACAATGCAACCCAATTTGGTAGGTTGAGGGCTTCAATCATCGTTCGGTTTGGAATATCAGACCACCGACTAGGTTTATGTTCTCATTAGACAACTCCTAAAAGAAAATTGGTGAACGGTACCTTTCAACCCAGCTAGTCAGCTCGTCCTTGATGCTCTTATGGCTTGGATCATGTTCCCTGAGTTCCCAGCCAGGGTTGAGCTTATGTTGTGATGGAATAATTAGCTCATGACCATCAAGGCTTTCAAACAAAGCCATTAGGCTGGCGGTGACGTGGTCCATGATTAAGAAATCTGGATATGCTTCTGAGGATGGTTGATGGTCCACAGAATAGGGAAGTTGACACCTCTTATACTAACTTTGGGGCGTACCTCACTCTACTAGGAAAACAAAATTACTACGGTGCTGAATATCTCATTGGCTTTGCTAATGCTATCTTTCTAATCATCATTGCATTTTCTGTGAAACCTGACTTGAATATGGTAGTTGTTGCAAGTACCTCTCACTTGGGATACCAATGCATTATCTAGTACCACGTAGGCAAATATTACGACTTATTTCCCGGAAGTGAACACCCGGGGACATGCGAGAGAGTCTTCATTGGGCGTGATTACCAACATCCGCTTGTCAGATTGCTTTCTAGGATAGTATCAGTATTTTGTTGCGTGGCTACGGGATCAACCTTAATTTCTCCCTTTTCATCGTGGAATTGGCGCGATAACGATAGTCCACACACCGTGTTTTAGTATATTGGCGGTGTGTGCATAGCTTCTCTTCATGTTTATATCCATTCCTAGATGTACGGTAAACGAGCTGACAGTACGTAAGCAGCTTATATCACGCCTTTGATTTTGGCTATTGGATATTTGTGGGATGTCGTTCGCATTGAATTTTTTTTCTTCCTTTCTTTTCCATCTTACTACATATATCTAGGAGGCCGCGTACAAGTCGGGATTGTTTCAGAGCTTTTTTTTGGATGCCCCATCCGAGGTAGTTTATAGTGGGGGCGTCTGGACGGTGTTGCGCGGATTGGTGATTGGCGAACAATAAAGTCGCTCGATAGAGTATATCAATATTGAAAATTTGAATGATATCTTGATCTTTGTGCAAATTGTAGCGTAACGTTGGGCAAAAGTGATGAATGACGGGACCAACTCGGACCACCACCGCATGTTGTCAGTCCAAGAGAACTAGAGAACTGCCAAAGGCAAAGATCATTGCTAGACGTGGTTAGAGTGTCCGAAATAATAATAACTTATTTAGGGTTCAATCAATCGGGTTTAAGAATCCGAGCAGATCTAGATGCAAAAAAATACCGACATCGCCAAACTGGTCACAGCTCGGAGTGAAGCCGAGAAGTGTTCCACGTGGACCTGAATAGGCTTTTTCTGGGTGCATCCAAGACTTAAAGCGACTTAAAGCGACTTGAAAGAGGCTAGAGAAAGCTAGAATTCACCGACGTAGCCCCGAGTTGGAGTATATTCACAATGCTAAACTCTTTTCAGGATAATACCTATCTTATCTGATGCTGCCCCGCTATGCCAAGTGCCAATAGACTGTCCTTTGCCTTTTTACGTAAGTTCGAGCTGATGAGGGGCTTCGGCCTCTTTCGCCGGGATCAGCTCACCGTAGCACCACTAGGGCTCCACTCTCTCAGTAGACTTTTTTTTTTTTTATCAATCTCCGAGGCCCATAAATAGTAATGGCATGGAAGCTCTTTTGAGTTTGCCTGAAAGTTCTTTATTTTATTTTGAGCTAGGGGCTTTCCATATCATTCCGCCATCGAGTTGTGATGATGGCAGTTGATACTTCGGACTCCAAGTCCGTGGACGCGGTGTCGGCACCTGTCAGTGAAGACATTCGTACTCCATCGGAAGAATCTAGCGATGACTCCGATGGAAAGAAGCCACCGCCGCTTGCTGCAAAGTTAATCGCGGTCGCACTGATATCGTGTATTAGCTTTGGCTCGCACTGGAGCTCTGGCGTGACGGGTGCTATGAAGAGCACAATCAAAAAGGTATTGAAGACTATGGGAATGTCGATTCGCAGGATTCACTGACGGCTTTTGTTTGGCAGCAAATGCATATCGACAATGTTCAATTTTCGCTTTTGGAAGCTAGCGAAGACTTCATGGCCACAGTTCTGCTTTTGATAAGTGGTGTGATCACCGACCGAGTTGGCGGAGCTCGTATGTTGCTGAGTATGTCAAATGAACGAGAGATATACTGACCGGCATTTTCTAGAGATGATCGTTTACGGAAATATCGTCTATACCATCGGTTCTATCCTTGTTGCTGCCGCCGCAACCGTGCGCTCTTTCAACTTCATGATCGGAGGTCGAGTTATCCTCGCACTCGGCGATATCGCCACCCAAATCGCTCAGTATAAGATGTTCTCCTCTTGGTTTCCCCCTAGTAGTGGATTTGCATCTACATTAGGCTTTGAGCTCGCCATCGGCAAGATAGGCGGGTTTGTTGGAAAGTCGACGGCCAATATCATTGCAAAGGTGATTTCTTTTCACCCGGGTTGACTTAGTTAAGCCAATGCTAACAGGCGCATAGAGAACTGGAAACTTTGCCTGGGTCTTTTGGACCTCGGTGTTCATGAATCTCTTCACCAATGTGGCTAGTGCAGGGTTCTGGTTCTTCAACGTGTATTGTAATCGTCACTTCAAGGGACGACGCGATACAGCTACCAAAGAACAACTGACAGAGAAAAACAAAAAGTTCGAATTCCAAAAGCTGTTCGAGCTCCCGTGGATGTTCTGGGCTGTCATGGCCTTCTCTATTTTCCAAACGAGTGCTGCATCAGTATTCAGCCAAAATGCCACCGAGCTGGCCGAGAAGCGATTCAATGTCGATTCCATCAAGGCTGGATGGTATAGTTCACTTTCGCAGTATGCAGGTACGAATATTCCGAGAATGCAAGATGATTGGGAGTGGATATAAGCTGACACGAACCAGGCTTCTTCCTCGTTCCCTGCTTGGGCGTGTTTATCGATGTCCTCGGCAACCGAGCAACTGTCTGTGAGTTTGACCAACGAGACCTAAAGCAAGCTGATACTGACCTCCCTAGTGTTTGTCTGCGGTCTCGGCATGCTGCTGAGTATGGTTCTCATTAATTTTGCAACATCACATGCAGGCACAGGCGCTGCATTCGGCATCTACGCCATTGCCGTGTCCCTCGGACCAACCTCGGTCATCGACAGCATTCGCACCTCGCTATGGCATCAATCGGTCTTTGGGTCTGCGTATGCATTGAAGGTTACCATGAACAATGCGTAAGATTGATCCTATATCCTCCACTGAAAATGTAGTTTGAGACACAAACTGACATTGCAAATCGTAACAGTATGAGCATTATAATTCGGATCATCACGGGAACTTTGCAGGACGCAGATAACAATTCATACCGCCGAGTGGTGCAGGTCTATTTAGTTCTTGCTGCCGGTGCTCTGGTTGTCGGTGCTGCTATCCTGATCGGCTCGTTTTTGACTGATAACCTGGCACCGCTACAGTGGACTCGGCATAAACGGTTGACATCGGGTGCGGCTACCATTGAGCGGATTCGAGAGCACAACTTGGTAACCCTGCGCCAGCGCACTCGGAATATTTCCATAATTTGCTTCGGTGCTCTGATTTTACTGACACTTGGGTCGTGGGTGGCGTATATTTGGGGTGCGGTGACCGGTCATAATTCCTAGTCAGATATAAAGTTTTGGAAGAGCTGAATACAACATATGATTTTTGCGAGGCTTTGATCATCTTGAGTGTTCAGGCCTATGACGGAAGAGATGATTGCATTCTATACAACATATAACACACCATGGGCAGTGTAGTCAAGACTGCCTATATTGTATGACTGCTTCAACAATTCGCCACTGTCGTCATGGGGCTTCCCGGGCCAATTCCAACCCCTGGCAGAAATGACGTATCCTATTCCTTTTTTTTATTTTATTTTATTTTTATTTTTTTTTAAAATGAGGGTAAACATGTGGAAGCCCTAGTTAACAGCTCTTAGTGAAGCTGCCGAGACAGCATGGTTCACATTCCAAGGTTCATGAAGCCAGGATGTAATTAGCAAGTTCTACTAGAACGATCGTGAAGATTCATTGGTCCACTTGGCGTTGATCGAGGTGTCTGACCTACCGTCTCGGAACGCCATAGGACCACCCCACAGCCACTGAAACTTACTCCCCTCCACATCTTGTCTATATCTGTGCTGCTCAGTGGACTCCAATGTTGTACTCCCCAGTCAATATGCTGGTCCAGCGACAGTTGCGCAATCTGGGTGTGCCGATCCCAAGATTCCGTACAATCCCACAAGAGACGCGAAGAAGCAGTGGAGCAGATGTACTCCATATATGACTCTCAATGTGTACCGGGCGCTGGTTCCCACTAATCATCTTCTATGCATTTTCCCTCTCACTGGTCCACCTCGTCAATGCCCGTCCCTATTGTACTTTGACAGGTGGGATTCCTGGATGTGCTTGCCGAACGTTCCACACTCTTCCTTGGAATCCCAATTACGCTTCACCTGACTTGCTGTTCTTGGTGGAGAGTGGTATGTAATTGGGAACTCCCACTTTCCTTATCTCCAATAGTCTGTGACTAATTTAGCTATACTCATCGCTGCGACAAATTCTCATTTTTTAATCACTTCCTTTCTGCATCTTGACCTCTCCTAACCCTCGTCACCCTGCCTCAGTCACCGGAGTGATAGCTTCGTCAGTTTCGAAATTTGAGTCCGAGGATGCAGCACTGTATCTTCACTCTTCCAACGTCAGCGGAAAACCATGGATATTCCTAAGAAACGCGATGATAGTCTACACAATGCAGATCGCAGGGCAAGAGAGCTATACCGCTATTACCAGCCTGCTTCCCAAGCTAAGGCGGTTCCATCTTGGCTTCCTACGAACGATGAATTCCCGTTTTCTGCGATTTCAGAAACTACAATCACCCCACCAATCTCCGAACGATTAGTACCTTCACACGGCAGTGCAACTTTCCGACCAGCGACGGCAACTGGCTCGGAAGCTCTCGTTCTGGGCACCCCGAATAATACAATGACGTCATTTGCCCAGCTAGCGGCCTTGCGATTGAACGTCGAGCGGGTGTTTATCTCTGTTTTGGATCGTGATGTTCAGCACATAGTCGCCGAGGCTACAAAATCGCTCAATTTGAACGATCCGTCAGTTTACGAGGATAATGATAATATCTGGTTGGGGGTATCTAACTCTCGTAAGATATGGAGTGTCTGTAAGGTAAGTTTTGCTCACTCGACGAGCTGACTGATCCGGAGCTATTGTCGGACTCCATCACATTGTTCATTTTTCATGACTCCTCGATCTTGACGCCATTCGACAGGACACTGTTTCACTACCGCCAAACGACCGCGAGAATGCAGACTATCAATTTCTGATCGTGAACGACATGACCGAAAATGAGCGCTACAAACACCTTTCCTTCGTTGAAAAGGACCCCAGCTTCCGCTTTTTTGCCGGAACTCCCTTGACAACCGATAAAAATATCAATCTGGGTTGCCTTTTTGCGCTGGACACGAAAGCCCGAGGTGGATTGTCACCGCTAGAGAAGGATACACTGGGATCTATATCGATGATTGTAATGGATTATTTGAGCGTTTGCAGACAGGCTTGCGAAGGACGACGAGCCGCGCGCCTTTCCCGCGGGCTCAGCTACTTCGTTGAAGGAAGCTCTAGTTTCGTGGATAGTATCGACCAGTCACGCACCGACAGCGTCGGTGCTCCATCACCAACTCCGCCATCTTCCTACAATCGACTAAGTGCCTCTGGTGGCTCTCGTGGACAAAGCTCAGAAAACGCATCGCAAGCACCGTCCAATAGTCCACCGACTGATCGATCACTCAGTAACGACGCGCGTTCCTTCAGCTCTGTCCCGTCCGATCTAAAATCAGACTACGATTCTAAGATGGGCAGTGGTTCAAAACTGGATAGCGGTTCAAAGGTTGAATCGGGCAGTGTAGAGAGTTCTCTGCCAGAATGGCTGACAAGCAGCAGCCGGAATCGACTACCGCCCGATGATTCGCAAGGCAACTCCTGGTGCTTCCGCAGGGCGGCCAATCTCCTCCGTGAGAGTCTTGACCTGAATGGCGACAGTGGGGTCATTTTCCTGGAGGCCAACAATAATCTTTTGACCGATGCCGATATGGGGAGTGATTACTCCGACACAGATGGGCCTGCCTCTGTTCTGTCAGCATCAACAAATGAAGAACCATTTGCTCCCCAGGCAGGCTCGATGGCCACATGCGCTGCGGCCAACTTAGACCGATCTTTCCTACAATTGTTGCTTCGACGCTACCCCAAAGGAAAGCTATGGTCTTTCCACCGCGATGGGCTTATCTCGACTTCAGATGATGACGACCAACAACTCAAAGACAAGGCCCCTCTTGGCACCAGTGCCACCAGTCGGTCCCCACCTAGTGCTGTACAGCCTTCGAAGCCCTTGCGAAAACGGCGGAAAGCTGCCGAGAACTCGGTACTCAACCAATATTTCCCAAATGCGGCGCAAATCATGTTTGTACCATTGTGGAATGCCGTTTCCTCGCAGTGGTTCGGAGGGTGTTTCTGCTGGAGCACAATTGAGACTCAGGTGTTTACCACCTCAGTCGAGCTCAGTTCTGTGCTTGGGTTTTCATCCTCTATCATGGCCGAATATAGCCGCGTTGAATCTCTCATCGCGGATCGCCAGAAGGGTGACTTTATTGGGAGTATCTCGTGAGTTTTGTCTTGGTCATTTGACATACCCCACCGCAGTTACTAACCACCTTCCTTTACTAGACATGAACTTCGTAGCCCCCTTCATGGCATCTTGGCCGCTGCCGAGTTTTTGAACAGCACTCATCTCAATGAATTCCAGGACTCATTGCTTGAGACTGTCAACTCCTGTGGCCGGACATTATTGGATACAATGAACCAGGTACTTGACTTCAGCAAGGTAGTATCTTTGGAACGGACATGGCGGTCAATGAAACGCAAGAAAGAGCCACCACTCGATTTCAAAGGATCTGACAAGCTAGCCCATCACCTGGATACGCTCGTAGCTACCGATGTGGCTATCCTCGCCGAGGAGGTCGTCGAAGGCATCTGTCTTGGCCATGTGTACGGCCAGAGCTCTACTGCTTCAGCTGACCTGCCCGTATTGATGCCACATCAAACAAAGTCGCAGAATCAGCGGTCCAAAGTCGAAGTTATTATCGATATTTCATTCCGGGATTGGGTCTACCGGACTCAGCCGGGCGCTTTGCGCCGCATAATTATGAATCTTTTTGGAAATGCCATGAAATATACAGAATCTGGGCGAGTCACCTTATCATTGGCAGCATCTAGTCAATCTGAAGGACGATCTCGGCGGCAAGGCCTGGAAGACTTGGTCACCCTGACAGTAACCGACACTGGTAAAGGTATATCGGAAGAGTTTCTGCGTGGCAAACTTTACACCCCCTTTGCCCAGGAAGATGCCTTGGCTGTTGGTACTGGACTGGGATTGTCAATTGTTCGCAGCTTGGTCAAGGCTCTGAATGGAAGCATTCGAATCCGCAGCCGTCCAGGGGAGGGTACTGTCGTACATGTATCTCTTCCTCTAGAGCGGCCTGTTGGAAAGGAAAGCCCGGCCATCGAACCATCTGGGCAGCTTATCCAACAGAGAGAAACCTTGACCCAAACTCTTCTCTTACGCGAGCAATACTCTGGTAAACGAGCCTCTATTTGGAGTACTGACCCAACCGACGTGACTACCGACTCTAACTGGTCTGAAATCGCTCGATATATTTCAGACTGGTATGGTATGGAAATCGTCGCATGGAAGCCGGAAGCCCATATTGATCTTGTGCTTATCGATGAAACTGAGTTACCAAACTTCCGCACCATTGCACCCACTGCCACTTTTACTGCTCTTCTCGTCCTATGCCACAAGTCGGTGGATTACACCGAGGCGAAATCCGAGTGGTTGACTCTTGCTTCCTCCGTGAACATCATCCGGCGTCCCTGTGGGCCACACAAATTAGCTCGAAGTGTAATGAGATGTCTGACCCATGGGCAACCGAGATCCGAGACACCAGCCTCCTCTATGCAACCACTGAGTCTACCGCTCCGGCCATCCTCGTTGCCATCTGAACTCGCTTCGCCCCGCATATCCAATGCCGATTCTTGTAGCGCCCCAGGTCTGAATTATCCTGGAATTCGCCCCATGACAATATCACCACTGCAACAACCATCACAAATCACCGCATTACCCGAGGATATTTCAAAATCCCCTTTGCCAGAACCCCTGCTAGAGCGCTCAAGCAAACCTCAGCGACTGGCACGAGTGCTTGTGGTTGATGACAATCGAATAAACCTCAACCTGATGATGACGTTCCTCAAAAAGCGCCAACTGACTGAGCTGGACCCAGCTGAGAATGGCAAATTGGCCGTTGAGGCAGTTGAGCGGATGCAGAGTGGCTATGATATCATCTTCATGGACATGTCTATGCCTGTCATGAATGGGTTTGAGGCTACTCGTGCTATTCGCTCGTTGGAGAGGGATACGGATGGTCGCAAGCCAGCTATCATTATTGCCTTGACTGGACTCAGCAGCTCTCGCGATGAGTCCGATGCTATGGCTTCTGGTGTGGACCTGTTCCTCACCAAGCCGGTCTCTTTCAGAGAAGTAGCACGGCTACTAGATGAGTGGGAAAGGGATGGGATGGTAACAGAACGGAAGATGGCATGTTGAACAGCATGTTTTTGTCCATTTTGATTTGGCGTACAAGCTTGTTTCTTGAAATCTTCGTTTTGGTTGCTGTGATGCATCGCCTTCTCTCTTAACATCTCTGATCTCGACTATATCCCCTTGCTCCTTTCTCACTCCACATCCCAACAAACCGCACACGAACTGTACTACTTTTGTCTGGTTTTCTTTTTGTTTTCTTTTTACTCTATCTAGATGATATTAATCCATCATTGACCTGAATAAGTGATTGGTGTTGGTCATGTTATTATAACATCATCGAATCAGACAATGAACGTGATGATATTTTGGTTTCTTTTCTCTCTCTCTCTACCTCTCCCTTCCAACACACACATTGCAACAACTCCTATTGTTTGACTGTTGATGATTTACACTGCATTATACCAGACAAACGCTAGATATACGGGAAGCGACGGCTAGAGTTGGTATACCTTGTTTTTATACTTTGCTTTCGCTTTTTCTCTTGTTTCTCTTTTCGCTTCTTGCATGATACTCAACATTGCACGGCGTGCAACGATCTACCCGCCTGGTGGTACATGTACATGCGTCTTTTTTTCTTTGGATTTAATTTTGGTGGTTGAAATTTACACGCATATAGATATTTGTTACTTCAGGTAGCGCTGGATCTGGATCGCTCTGCTGACCTTGCGATATGTATACGATTTGGGATGAGGCAAGACGGCGTCAAAAAATCATGAAAAAAAAACATGGTCACATTCGGTTCTAATATGTGAATTCAATATACATACTTCTCATCAATAATTACGCATCTTGTGCTTCGTATTGTTCTACAAGCCGCAATCGGGACATCTTCTGGCCTGGATAGCGAGTGAGCTGGTGTGGCTTGCTTGATTGATTGTCACATAGTTCTTCACTTTCTCTGGCGCTAGCAGTGCAGGCCAGTGTCACCTTTGAGAGAACTTAGACTCTCGGTGATCGGTGATCGACTTTGGAAACCGCGTTGGCAATACCCGACGACTGTGCATTGGGATAGCGCGAGATTAGAAGCATCAGCTGGTGAGTAATTGTCAGTATCCATCTAGTGAATCCATCTAGTGAATAGAAATTGAAGACATGGACATACCTGTGAATTCCTGCATAATGAACGATTTACTCTCCGGGTGTGTATGACGGAGTCAGGTTGAGGCTGTAAAGGCGATTGGAGTTATAGAACAGAACGTCGGCAGCTACCTTCATGGCCTGAGTCGCAGTGAAGTCGCTCTGCTGAACATAATCGACGAGTACCTATAAGACAGAAAATAAGCATCAGTCAAGGCTAGTAGAAAGAAGGCTTGTAACTAACCATCTCAAGAGCCTGGCGGAACTGCTGATTAGCCAACCAAAACGTCTCCGGGTGAAATTGGCCACCAGTACTCCAGAGCAGACGGTTGGTAGGCGCCATCTCCAAACTCTCTCTCAGGACCTTAGTCTGCGCCTCGCGGCTAACCATGGGAAACACCTTCCCAAGATCAAGATAGACATTGGGGTAAGCAGCAGCGAGATAACCCGCTTCGCGCGTGTAAGGGTATCCAGCATGCAACAACACAATATCCGCACTAGCGTACTGCGCGATTAAAGGCTGCAGACAAGCAGGGTTCGCCCGCAAAAGATTAATCCGATCATCTCCCAAGCCAGTGTGAAACAGCAAAGGTTTCGCAACGCCGGCTTTCTTCTTAAATGAGATCGCTTTCAGCGTCTGCTGGACAATCCAATCACAGATCTGTTTATCATTGACCTCGAACCCAGACCTGGTTGTTCCAGAATCGAGGATGCGAATCAATGACCCACCGAGTGTGGTATCATCAGAAGAATACGGATCCACATCTAATCCGGTCCGACAGGAAATTTCCGATTTGAAAGCAACGATATTGGCATCATCCAAAGCCTCACCGAGAGCATCCTGGAACATCTGTCGGAAATTGTTCCAGACTGATTCGCCGTTCTTGCGCGCGTTGGAGACCTGCAGGATTGTGGACTCGGCCAGGGCTTCGATTTGCACAATTCGCTTTGTCGGCGAGACAGTGAAGCTATCGTGCCAGGTTGAAGGTTCGATATCCTCGTCGTCCCTGAGGTAGTTATCGAGGAGCAATGCGTGCGTGCCTGATAGAGACTTTCGGATCAAGTCGTCGTAGTCTTCTCGCACGCTTTGATCGTGGGCGGATTGGATGTCATTCCAATTTTCGCAGGCGCGGCCGTATAGCTTGGAGAGCTGGGTTATGGCCCGCAGTGAGGGGAGGGTGGTGCGGGCATTTTCTAGGGCCCGACCGTCTGCTGAGGAGGTGATGGCCTCGATTGGGTAATTGTCGTAGTCGGTGGCTGACTCGCGGTTCAATAGGTTGTGCGCATGGTGGTCGATGAGTGGGTGGGACTGAATCAGGTTTCGTAGAGGACTAAGGTTGTCCATAATGACAATATTGAAGATGTGTGCAGTGAAGAAAATCTGATATTGAAAAGATCTCCCCAGATTGTGTATAGCCAATCAGAACATCCATTTCGATCTACAATGGAAGTAAAGTGGATTCAGTTGACCAGTCACATTGAAGCAAATACAATATTCATAAGTTTCATTTCAATCTGGTAGAGATGATCTATACAGATCATGGAATGCTCAATATTGCCCTTCAATTGTCAAAGTGCCCGTTTTGGTAACCAAGTACTCATTGACAGCCACGTCCTTCCCACTCTCTTTGCCATAACCAGACTCCTTGAGACCACCGAAAGGCGACTCGGCAGCCGATGAATTGCCTGTGCGAGTGAATTAGACTTGTTATTCGTAGAAATATTAGTAGAAAACTCACCTGTGTTCATTCCAATCATTCCCGCCTCCAAGTTCTCCAAGAGACGCCACATGCGATCGATGTTCTTCGTGAAAGCATAACTAGCCAGACCCATGCTGGTATCATTAGCCAGCTTGACAGCCTGCTCCTCGGTCTCGAACCGGTAAAGTGCAGCAATAGGCGCAAACGATTCTTCTTGCGAGATGAGCATCTCCTCCGTCATTCCCGAGAGAATAGTAGGCTCGAAGAAATAACCGGGCTTCGACGCCACAGGATTACCACCCAAGATAACATCAGCACCGAGCCGACGAGCATCCTCAACCTGCGCAGAGGCCTTGTCAATACTCCGCGGCGTCGTCAACGGCCCCATCGTGGTACCATTCACGGCACCATGGCCAACAACAATTGCAGCAGTGCGCTCCTTCAGAAGAGCAGCAAAGCGATCATAAATCCCGGCCTGCACATAGATCCGATTGGCAGTGATACAAGCCTGGCCGGCATGACGCCATTTCAGCAACATAAGCTGCTCGACCGCCTGGTCAAGATTGGCATCGTCGAAAACAAGGAAAGGACAATTTCCGCCCAGCTCGAGAGTCAATTTCTTAAGACCATGTGCACAGTGCGAAGCAACCAACTTACCCACCCTCGTCGAACCTGTAAAAGTCACTTTCTTAACAAGCGGGTGCTTGCACAACGCCTCACTCAGCGCAGGTGTGTTCTCCAAATCCGTAGTAAGCACATTCAATACACCAGCAGGGATACCAGCCCGCTGCGCCAGTTCTGCCAACACGAGCGCAGAAATCGGCGTCTCGGGACTAGGCTTAACAACCATCGTACAGCCAGCCGCCAGCGCGGCACCGACTTTCCGCAAAACCATGGCAATGGGGAAGTTCCATGGGACGAGGGCGGCTGCTACGCCGATCGGTTGCTTGATAGTGAACAAGCGACGGTTCGGCGCGGCCGCCGTTGATACACTACCCTGGATGCGCTCTGCTTCTCCGGCGAACCACCATAGGAAGCCGAGGGAGTAGTCGATCTCGCCGTATGCTTCTGCCAGCGGTTTGCCGGTTTCATGGGTTACGATCTGAGCGAGGTCGTCGCGGGCTGCGACAGTCAGGTTGTGCCATTCGAGTAGCCACTTTGCGCGCTGGCGCGGGTTGACTTTGCGGAATTGCTCGAAGGCTGCATGGGAGTTTTCAACGGCGGCAGAGACATCTTCTGCTGCGTTTGCAGGGCAGCTGGCCCATGCTTTGTCGGTGCCGGGGTCTGAGGGGGATATGTTAGCTGTGGTCTTTATGTTGGATGTAGAGCTTGAAGTGACTTACCGAGGACTTCAAAGCGCTTTCCGCTCTTTGCGCCGACCCATTTGTCGCCGATTATGGAGTCAAATTTCAGCAGACTGGGATCCGCTAGCTGTAGAAAATCGAGTTAGCGTTTTGTTCAACGCTTCGGACATCTCGCCGATTACCCCGCGGGACAGGAATAGAGGGATAGAAGCCATACCTTGAATGGTAGCTCATACTGAGTCGCCATATTGATGAATAAAAAAAATGATTTGAATATCAGATCAGGGTAGAATAACTAAATTCACCGACAAGTGATGTTTATAAGAAGAGGGGAAACCACATACCCTTTATATACCCTGGAGGTGACCCCTCATCCGAAATTGGAGTAGATCCTCGGCCCATTTTGATATCCTTCTTCTTCAAGTAGGCTATTGGCTATTGGCTATTTGCATAAAAAATCGTATATATGTGAAGTATTAAACCAAACTATCAACACTAGCCGGTCTGCCTTCTTGCGACCGACCATCCATTCTAGGCTCCATACTATATCCGACCGAGATATCAGTCGTCTTCATAATCCCCTTACCATCATCACTTAAACTCCCGTTAGAACTATCCCCACCACGCTTATACTTACGCATCTCAAAATCTCCAGCAATATCAACACGCGGCCCGCCTAGCGGATCCGCCATCTCGTAATCCGCGCCGGGGACGGAGTACGCTGATGGCTGGGTGTGTGAGGTAGACTTGGACTTGAAGATATTCGAGCGGAGTCTGCGCGACCCAACGCCGCTTCCGGAGCCAGTACCGGCGCCGTATGTGGATTTCCCGTTACGCGAGCTGCCGAGAATTCTGGGGAGGAACCTGCTGCTGATGGCTTTCAGGGATGGACCGCAGGCTGTTACCACGGCGATGTTTACTTCGACAGCCGAGCTGCAGAATCCGATCGAGTAGGTTGGGTCTGGGTTTGGAGTGTGGGAGAGGAATCCTTGGGCGAGGATTACGATGCGCCAGACTCCAATGGCGGTTGCGCTGTGCGTTGGACGGGTTGTTAGATTATTGTAGAACGGGTTGGATTTGGGGATTTACTTACACTCCACCTAGGCATAGGATGATACACACAGCGATCTTACGGCGGACGGGCATTTGCAGGCGCGCGGTGATTATGATCGGGATTGAGAGGACCATTATATCGGTGAAGAGATTTAGCGCTGCGGTTGAGACGTAGAACGCGCCTTGGTTGATGCATTTCCCGCCCGGGATCGTCATGTCGTAGACGTATGCTACTGGGTTGCATTGGAAAATGTCGACGAGGAGGACAGCGGTGAAAAGGCTGGTTACTATGGCGAAGGAGCTCCAGATGAGGTATTTGATCACCCGTGAGCGTGAATCGAGTCGGCGCAGGAATAACAAGATCGACAGTTTTACCACGGTCAAGGCTGGATTGTAGAGGAGTTGATTTGCGAAGTTCCACTGTTTTTTTTTTGTGAGTCTCTCTGGTCTACGATGGGAGGTGTGTAGTAGACTCACATTCAGCCCAGGTCTGGGATTGTAGTGTTTGGGAACATCCCAGATGTGAATGCCGACATAGTTGGTTTTGATGTCTGGTTTTGCTCAAATTAGCGGTTGTTCGCTTTATACCTCTTAACTGAATCACTTACAGAACCACGAGGTAACAGATTGGGAGAGAGCGATGATCTAGGAAAAGACATGTTTAGCATACACTCTTCAAAGATCCGGAGATCTGAAAATCGTACATATCCCACGACGATTAAATAGTCATCTATAAGGAGCGTCGTTAGCAACTACTTCTAACAGTCCAAGTCTAGTATCGATCTGGAGTACGGGAGGATTGGTTCCATACCGATTGTCAGTGCCGATCGTGATAACCATCGGCTCCAGAGCCGAAGTAGAACTGTAATGCCACCCAGAATCGTGAATGCGACCACGATACCTAGGGCGGTTCTTTGATAATGGTCGTCAATCATCGTGCATTCCCCCCAGAAGAGCGTCAGATTTCTCGAACAGCCTGCCCCCTCAATCTTAAGATGCATGATTGTTATTGTGGTCACCATAGCCAGTCAGGGTCGGCAACAAAGGTCCACTTCTTTGGCTTTAGTTCTCTGGATTCGGGCGCCCTTCCAGACCTTTCATGACAAACACATTATTGGTTCAACCGATTTGGGTGGTGGTCTTCCGTCTCCCAATTGGTTCCATGTCCGTTGACGCCGGTAATTAAGAGGAGAGCCAATAATGGATGGCGTGCAAAGGCTTAATGCGTCCATTTAGATTGGAGTGATGTTCTGGCCCCAATTCTAGCCGAAAAGCCAGGTCATTTGTCACCTCGCTGTCGTCTGAGTGGTCGATTGTTGAATCGTACTCCGTACGATTAATGTAAGTTCCAAAGCCCCAGCCTCTAGAAATTATTCATAACACGGAGCAATATCCGAGTCAACAGCTAGTGCAGAGAACAGTCGGCTCTTGGAAACTAGTGGGGAACTTAGTTGTTCTTGCAGCGTTAGATGCAGCTCATCCTTGCAAGGGGGCGAAAAGGGGGAGTACACGAGAACTCCCTCAATTATACATTCATGGCGGTATTAAACATTGGATAAGTACCTAATCCCACCAATCAGTAAAGTAATGTGTGCAAAGGTACATTCTATGAAGGATCAAACCTTAGCGACGCCATGAAATGAGTGCATTGATTGGTTTAAGAGCTGAATGTCTCGGATATAACATTTGGCCCCCACGATGAAATTATTCTGCTTCATCGGTTAGCAGACTTGTATTATTATTATTATTTTGTGTTCACTCTTGGCCAAATTAGATGAAATGCAGCATTCTCCTAGTCCCTTGCCTCACGGGTTTCTCATTGCCCAGCCAGCAGATCGGATCTACTTAAGTGGAGCATAGTGGATCACGAATGATGGAGAGGAAGAATGGACTCGGATTAGACCAAATGGTGGCCTCATTAGAGTCAAGCCGAGAAGAAAGACCGTATTCGCGTGTACAAGTAGCGCTTGCGCCATAACGATTACGAGGCACTGAATAGAAGGAAACTAATGGCGACAATCTCAGTCGATGTATTCTCCAATAACATCGGGCGTAACAGATAAAGCGTGGCTTAGAAAATTCCGAGAGATCCGGAGCAAACGCTCCATCTGGCTCTAGCTTCATCTTCTAGTCCTCGTTGGAAGAGACGCGCGAGAGTGGAGTGGGAGAGGGCTTGAGACACTGTAAATTGCCGTGGGGCGAGGTAGCAAGCTTTTCCTCTTGGATGTCAACATCATGATAAACGGAAGTATGTACTATTCACGTTAGGTACTCCATACATCGTACTAGGTACACCTTAAGCTAGGGAACGTCGGGAATTTGATTTAAAAATCCAAGTTAGCCACTTTTCTCAGTCCTCCCGATCTCGGGTATAGCTTCTTCCCTTTCACACGCTCACCATGGCCCCTTCGTTCATGACGGGCATTTTGATCGGTGCTCTCCTACTAGTAACACCTGGAGAAGCCCTTGTCGGACAGGTTTCACCTGCCTCTATAGCTGGTGCACCGCTATTTGACAGCGAAAAGCTCCAATTGACAGATCGTGACATTGCGAAGCTCAGCCCTAACCAGTCAGCCCTGGTTAAATTTGGGAGTCATGGCGCTTATAAGCCCACGCGCCCTACAAGAAAATGCAAGGTTTTCCCTGGTGACCACCAATGGCCATCGCAGTCTGCATGGTCGGCCTTGGATAACCTCCTAGGCGGTGCGCTCATTAAGACAGTGCCCCTGGCAGCGTCTTGCTATTCTTCATGGCCGGAATACGACAGCGAGGAGTGCGCAAGAATCAGCTCGCAGTGGACCGATTCTCATCTTCAGTTAGTAAACCCTGTGTAGGGTACATATACATTATATATACTGACTCCATTAGTGCTGCGGACCCGGCATCGGCAATGTGGCCATTGTTTGAGGGAAGAAGCTGCCTGCCCACTACCAATTCCTCTGCATCTTGCACGGTGGGTGGCTACAGCAGCTATGCTGTGAATGTCAGCAATGTGGCTCAGATCCAGCTTGCTGTCAACTTTGCACGCAATGCAGACATCCGTCTGGTCGTTAAGAACACCGGCCATGACTTCAATGGAAAATCAACCGGTGCTGGTGCTTTGGGTATTTGGACCCACAATCTCAAGGAATTTGAATACTATGAGAAATATTGTGGTTCGGGCTACCAGGGCCCAGCTGTTAAGATTGGGTCAGGTGTGCAGGCCTTTGAGGTCTATGAAAAGGGCCAGGAACTTGGATTCACTGCTATTGGTGGTGAAGGCAAGGTGAGTTGATCATTTCAATATCAATATTTACACAAAAAGTCTGACTGTATTAGACTGTCGGTGTTGCCGGTGGCTACGTTCTCGGCGGCGGCCACTCACCCATGTCCAGCGTGTACGGCTTGGCTGCCGACCAAGTTTTGGCTCTTGAGGTCGTACTGGCCAATGGACGCTTCGTCACAGTGACCGAAGAAAGTGACAGCGATCTATTCTGGGCTCTGCGTGGTGGCGGCGGTGGTATGTTTGCTCTCGTATTCTCTTCTCGAGATTTAGTTTAACAGATTCCCACCAGGAACCTACGGAGTTGTCACTTCGCTGATCTCTCGTGTGTACCCCAAAGTCGGTGTGACCGTCTCGACATTCAACTTCTCTACTAGCAAGAATGTCTCTGTGGAAACCTTCTGGGCTGGCGTCCGATCATACTTGTCGCGTTTCCCAGCCCACGCCGACGCTGGTACCTACGCCTACTTTTGGGTGTTGCCGACAGGCCCTGGCGCCTTCACCTTCATGATGAACCCCTTCTTCGCTGTCAATCACACTGTGGACGAGTTTAATGCTCTAGTCAAGCCGTGGTATGATGACCTCCATGATCTGGGCATCTCATTCCAACCAAACACAACCTACTACGACAACTTCCACGACGCCTGGAACGCCGGATTCCCCCTCGAAATAGTCGCCTCATCGACCATGATGACCGGCTCTCGCCTCTTCCCACGCGCAAATTGGGAAACCCCCACCTTACTAAATGCGACCTTCAATGCCCTGCGTGCCACAATCACTGACGGCTTCGCATTGCTCGCATTCAACATGAAAGCCGAGCTGCAGGAGGGCTTCACTCCGAACTCGGCAAACCCGGCGTTCCGCCAGACTCTGATGCACGCCATCACATCCACATCCTGGACGAATACCACCTCCAATGCCGATATTAAAGTCAAGATGAATGGCCTCACCAAGGTTGTCGGCAAGTGGCGTGCTGTCTGCCCTGACTCTGGCGCGTACATGTCCGAGTCGGATATCCAGGAGCCGCACTTCCAGCAGGCTTTCTATGGTACCAATTACGACCGCTTGTATAGCCTGAAGCAACGGTATGACCCTACTGGCCTATTTTATGCGCCTACTGGTGTTGGAAGTGAGGATTGGGTTGTGAAGAGCCTTGACGGTCTTCCGGATCAGAATGGTCGGCTGTGCCGTGTTTGAGATGATGGCATGTATATTAGAATCTAAATATGTACAGTGAATCATTTATAGAAATTATTTATGTACAGAACAAGTATAAAAGGGTTCCTTTTGCGGATGAGCAATAATTACCGGTGCCTTATCCATCTCGGGTATCCGAGCCATCAACCCCAAACAGGGCTGGTCTCATGCCATATGGCGAAGTTGTTAAACACCGCACCTATCATTGAGATACAGCCTAATTTGACCAACGCTCACATGAGCCCTAAATTGGTACTTGGAAAATAGGATGGATATCCAAAACCGGGGGAAAGTGTTTTCCGGGGGCATCAAGTCGGAAACCCGGAAAAGCACCCGCGATGCGTGGGATTACCCCAACGTGGGGCTTTTCCGCCAGATATAAAACCATCTCGAGCGAATGAACTACTAACTATAATTTACACAACCATCATGGCTACAATAACTATTACGACAACTGAAGCGGGCGTACAGCCACTCCAGACCAAAGATATCGCGACTCGGCTATTGAACGGCACGCTTCACTCCCAGTGGCCAGCGTTTGAACAATTTGCAACCATCGATGGCCTTTTGAAATCCCATGCTGCTCAGCCAGATGAGGCACAACGGCCTCTAATATGCTACCCAATTCGAGGAGCGGCTGATTTCGAGGATCATACAGCGGGAGACATCGATCGGTACACTGATGTCGCTGTTCGCTTTTACATGCAGCAAGGACTTGTACCAGCAGTAAGAAGAAACCCATATTTTTGTGTCAACATCCACTAATCATCCCTTAGGACCCAAGCCTCGAACAAGCGCCTGTTGTCGCTATGCTAGCTGGATCTAGCTTTGAGGTCGTGGTGACTTTCTTCGCGCTGAATCGCCTTGGCTATGCTGTGCTTTTCTTGTCTACACGTCTCACAGCCCCAGCTTATGCCCGGCTAATGGACATGGCAAATTGCAGTCATATTATCAACACCAAGCAGTTCCAGCAAATTGTAACTGATATTTGTACCGAACGTCCCGGTTGCAGTAGCTTCTCTCTACTGCAGAGGAAGGACTGGTTCAACCGTCCCGTTAGCAACCCTCGCTTTGAACGCCCCGGTGCAAATCCCTCACGAGAAGGCAAGAAGATTGCCTGGATCCTACATTCTTCTGGGAGTACCGGTTTCCCGAAGCCCATCTTCCTTACCAACCTTCAAACGCTAGCCAATTTCCGCAAGAGCTTCGGCCTGCGCCTCTTCACTATCAGCCCACTCTTCCACTCTCATGCTCTGATGGAGCTTGGACGAGCATTGTTTACAAGAGCACCAGCGTACCTGGGAAATCATTCTCTTCCAGTCACATACCAAAATCTCTTCGATGCGCTCCAGGTGGCCAAGCCGCAGCAAATCAGCGCTGTGCCATATGTGATCAAACTACTGGCAGAAAAGCAAGAAGGCATCCAAGCATTGGCCCGCCCGCAGCTCGTCCTGTATGGTGGCTCCAGCTGCCCAGACGATCTTGGCGACCGTCTTGTGGCACAGGGCGTCAATCTGGTCGCTAATTATGGAGCGACGGAGACAGGACAGATCATGACGTCTTTCCGAGCTCCGGAAGATAAGGAGTGGCAATATATGCGACTGCACCGTCCTGTTGCAGACCTCACTTTGATGGATGAGATCTCGCCTGGGGTTTTTGAATGTGTTGCATTAGACGGCCTGCCGAGCAAGGGTCCTTCGAACTCAAAGCCACCGTATAACGCAAAGAACCCAGAGAACTCTTTCAGGACAGCCGATTTGTTCACCAGGCACCCGGATCCAGAGAAGAGCAATTATTATAAGTATTTGAGTCGGCTGGATGATCGAATCACGTTGGTCAATGGTGAAAAGGTGCTTCCTATTCCAATTGAAGGCCGCGTTAGAGAAGAGCCTATCGTGAGTGACTGCGTTGTGTTCGGCTTCCAGCGAACTGTGCCTGGGGCTTTGATTTTCCGCGCGCCTGGTAAGGTGCCTCACTTGAGCGACGACGAATTCTTGGAAGCTATCTGGCCAGCTGTTGAAGCGGCAAATGCTCGGGCCGAGACGTTCTCCCGTATCCCGAAGGAGCTCGTCGTGATCAAGGGTGCTGATGTCGTGTACCCTAGAACTGACAAAGGAACGTGTATACGCGCGCAGGTCTATCAGCAATTCGAGGAGGATATCAAGCAGGTATATGCCAGGTTCGAAGGGAGTGGCCAGAAAAGAGGTTACCTCGCGCTCAGCGTTACAGAATTGGAGGATTGGCTCCTTTCAAGATTCAGCGAAGACTTGGGCGTAGAGATACCCAGCGCTGAGGCCGACATCTTCTCGGCTGGAATCGACAGCTTGCAGACAACACAAATTTGGAGGTGTATCATGCGTGATATTGATGTTGGTGAGCAGGCAGATCAGCTTTCGCAGAACATTGTGTTCGAGAAAGGCACTGTCAACGCACTTGCGAAGCACCTCTACCAACTGCGAACTGGTGAAGGATTTGAGAAGGAGGATGAGCTTGAGTCCATGCGTGAAATGATCGAAAAGTACTCCCACTTCACTCAACATTTCCCAACCATCATCCAAACACCAGAAACAGAGGTGGTAATGGTGACCGGTGCAACCGGAAATTTGGGAGCCTTCATTGTCTCAGAATTATTGAAACGGCCAACAATCTCCGAAGTTTGGGCAGTCGTGCGTGCACCAGGACAAGCAGCGGCAGGAGCTCGTCTCTATAAATCGCTAGCTGATCGCAATATCGTTCTCACTGATACCGAAGCCGCAAAGCTCCATGCCGTCCCTGGCGACATATCTCAGTCCAATCTCGGTCTCAAAGACCACGATCTGCAACACTTACTCTCCTCTCTGACATGCGTTATCCACAGCGCCTGGGCCGTGAACTTCAACCTGGGTGTACGATCCTTCGAGCAGCAGCATATCCGCGGAACATACAACCTCATCAACCTCTGCCTGCGCTCCCGCCTACCCTCACCAGCCCGCTTCTTCTTCTGCTCAAGTGTAAGCGCTGCAAGCAATACCCCCAAACCAGCCTCGATTCCCGAGACCGTGATTGAAAACTTGGACCACGCACAAAAAACGGGCTATGGAAGATCAAAGCTGGTAACAGAACACATCACCCGCAACGCTATGCGCCAGACAGGTATGCAAGCCCGCGTTCTGAGAATCGGTCAGCTTGGCGGCGACACAGCTAGCGCGCAATGGAATGAGACGGAGGCTGTTGCGCTCATGTTCCGGAGTGCGTTGACGACAGGTGCATTGCCGGAACTTAATGAGCGGGTGAGTTGGTTGCCTGTTGATCAATGTGGTCAGGCTATTTCGGATATTGCCATGAATGGCGCTGGGTCTTCCAATGTCAACTTGGTGTACCATTTGGTTAATCCGAAGGCTTTTAGCTGGAGGGGAGATTTGCTTCCTGCTTTGAGGGAGAGATCAGTCTTACCGGACTTTGAGGTTGTGTCTCCGCAGGAGTGGTTGAAGAGATTGGAGAGTAGTGAGCAGGATCCAGAGAAGAATCCAAGTGTTAAACTTGTTGATTTCTGGAGGTCTAAGTATCAAAGTCATGGCCAGCCGAAGACAGATGGCCCTGGTGCAGGAAAGGAGGGGAATGGGGAGGTTGGACTTGCATTTGAAACTGAGCACACAGTTCAAGACTGCCCCTTTTTGGCTCTTGTGGAGGACCCCATTGCTGGTGGTTTGATACAGAGGTATATTGAGTCGTGGATGAATCGATGGACAACATAGTACTGAACGGAGAATAGAAGGATGATTTGAATTTTTGTCGTGATATCCCACTGAGAATATTAATATGACGATAGCGACATGGATAGTGAATATGAGAGCAACAGGCGAGGCGTAGTAATAAAACGAAGTAATCAAGTAATCAATCGCTGATTTTAGGACAGTAAAAGCAATTTGGTATATTATTTCACAAGTTTAGCTCCAAAGACTCATTGTCAACAGTAACTGCATCTAGTTACCTAGTCACAGGGTCTCTAAGCCTTGGTAGAAAGAGACTCAACACCCTCCTGCATAGCCTGCAAGTGCTCAAACTTGTAGGTATCCTCTCCCAAGCTCCAAGCCATGACACCACCAAGTTTCTTCTCCGCGACAATTTCCTTGAACTTGCGGGCAATAAACTCGGGGGTATCCCAGGTCCAGAAGAGGTTGTTCTCGCTGTCGAAGTAGTACTTACCACCTCCCTTCTCGTCGTTCTTGCCATCCTTCTGGGCTTTGCGCCATGAGTCGGTGATAGAGATACCCTTGCAAGTACCGTAGTCCGAGAGACAACCAGCCTGGCAGAACTCATCGGTAGTACCGCTATACATAGTTAGTTCAGATATCAATCGGAAGCAGTTGATATTTATGCATACCAGTAGCCGGAAGCACTGCAGCACTGTCCTGATGGGCACTTGGCCTTCGCTCCAAATCCACACGTTCCATCGGTGCTGTCCTTTAGACCCTTAGGTGCAGCAGCCACATTGCTAGCCTCAAAAGTGAAAGCACCGGACTTGCCATTGTCTGTTCCATCGTCGTTCTCGAGCTTGACGAGATGGCAGCCGAGGGGGTTTTCATCACAATCGGAGTGGGGGTCGGTGGTGAACCACTTAGCGTAGTACGCGAAGCCAAGGTTTAGCTTTTCGGGATCAGCCCCAATAGCGAGATATTCGTTGATAGTGTCTAGAGAGTTCTGAACACCGCTAGCGTGGTCGGTAACGTTATCACGGCGGTTAACCAAATCATAAGTCATGACATTGACCATATCGACAGACTTGAAGATCTTAGGACCCTGCTCCTTAGTGAAGGCAATGAAGTCCTGCTTACGACCGGGGACTGCGATAGAGAGAACCTTGTCGCCAATTGCCTTGCGGAGAGCTTCGAGGAATAGAGGGTACGTTTCGATCTCGCCCACTTTCTTAGAGTTCGGAACGTCTTTGTAGTCTTGGCCGTTGCCGCCGGGATATTCCCAGTCAATATCTGCAAATAAAATTTAATAAACCCACCCACTTTTAAAATGTGGAAAGTTTTGTTTGGATGTCTTACCGACACCGTCAAATCCATGTGCGTCAAGCATCGAAGCGACATTCTTGGCATATCGCGTGCGCGAAGCCTCATCCTTTGCTCCCTCGGAGAAGCCAGCGGTGTCACCCCAGCCACCGATGGCGACCATTAGCTTGGTATCGGGGCTAAAGCGCTTGCGCATGGTCTCAGGGGACTCGAATGGCTTGTAGGGTTCGGGCGAGTCCGAGTTAAACAACTTCGAGGCAGCGAAACTCATGATCGCGTAGTCAATGCCCTGGGTCTTGTTCTGACTCGGGAGGTCGGTAACATGGTATCTTGAATAGGTATTAGCTGTGGGCTCAGGAGAGTGACTAAATTGAAGAAGATTGTACTAACTCGTCAATGTACATGGCAAAGCGTGTAGCAGCCACGGACTGGACGGCCAGCAGGCCAAGTGCCAGGCGTTTGAACATGATGGGAAATTATTAGACGACAGTCCTGATATGTTTATAAACAGGACGGGTGGTGGATCCGGTAATCGAAACAATGTATGAACAGATACACAGTCTGTCGTCTCGAGTCGAAAAGCAGCTTCAAGCCGCAAACAAAGAAAACTGAACAAGGAAGGATAGAGTAAGACGTCAGGGAGATCAGGTCAGGTATATATTGTATCGGGTCTTGCAAAACGCCCAAACACAAAAACATGCCAGAATGATCGTCTCCGGGCTGTCGAACATGTGCCTTAATCAGTCTATGCGGGGCATGTGGGCCATTCCTAAAAGGAATGTCGTATCACTGTTCAGCTCTGCCATCAAATAATTCAGTAAGACCCCTGAAAAGAAGGATTCAGGATTCGAGGCGCTGAAAAAGGGCATCTGGCGCTAAGGAGTGACTGCGGTATGCCAAGGGATTCAGGAGGCTGCCTGGTAGATATTATCCCCAATAATTGAAACGGTAAAAATAGGTTCAAGGACCATGATCCTGATTGATTCCAATTGAGGCATTTTCAAATTTAAGGGTTTTTTTTTTTAAAGTAAATGGTCAATGACGGTATACGATGGACAAGGTTGGTAAGCCCGATCTGCGCATTCATTCCCACTTCAACCCGCATTCCCCCCTTAGATTTTAGTTGTGCCCAATGATCATAGAGACGAAAACCGGATCCAATGTATAAGGTTTCTGGAAGTATTCACTGGAAAGTAGTCATCTTAAAATCTGACTCGACGAGGAGCCAAAACTCGGCGAAGCTGAGCGACGGAAGGATGGAACTTGAAACGTTCAGGATGTTTCAAAATGATACATTGACCTAGGGGTATAAGCAACAACAAAATGCAACCAAACGCCACAATCTATATTACAACGGCGCTAAAAGTCATCAATAGTCAAATATAGGGGCTTAGTTCCAGTGGCGCCGAATGATCGGCCGGGCAGGGTCCCAGGGACCGATCACAACGTTTTTGTACTTCTGCAAGCTGATAAGCCACCAGCTGCACCCGCCCATCACAAACGCGGTCAGGATGCCTCCTAGAACAGACCCAATGATGGCTGCTGCCCATCCACCACTCAGCGTGACCCCAACAGCGCCACCTGCAACGATCACAAGGGTCAGTGTCAAGAGCACATGACCAGTCCATGATTTCTGTCGCAGTTGACGCCGGAATATGGGGAATAGCCCAAATACTTCCATGGAGAATAGCATGAGGCTGAACACGTGTGTCGTAGAAGGCAACCGGGACGCGAGCACGGTAGAAGCCATCACAGCTGCGTTGGTGGACAAAGAGGCAGGGAACTTGGTGGTGGCGCCTGCGCCTTCCCCGCTCCCATAGTCGAAAGAGAATATATTCATGATTAAAAGCCAGCAGCTCATCGCCCAGATAGAATCACTGGCGGTGGACTTGGTAAGAGATTTCAGGATAGGACTGAGGCCCAGGAGGGCGAAGTAAATAAGGAACGCTGACTTGACCGTAGTCAAGCGTTGACGGTTGCGCGGTGATAGCGTCGAAACACGGTGGGTATCCTGCGATATGAACGGGTCCGTGGTGCCAATGATGGAGCTGCCAGGAGCAGACGGCACACCACTCTGCCCTGTCAAATGAGTCACTGTGTCGATGCGTTCGCTGAAATCCGCACTGCGACGGGCGAATTGTTCTTTTGAGTCATTCCCGGCCATAGACAGCCCGAGGCCGTGAATGGCGTTCGTCTTGGTATCGTCGGATTGTGTATCATCGGCGGGCGTATCGACGGCGCTAGCAAAAGAAATCGAACTGGATCCATCGTCGCCTCCAGTAATCCCATCTGCACTTGGCACGGATTCCTCATGCTCCTTCCAGATCCAATTATCCCACAGAATCCAGCCCACAGCCGTACCAACACTTCCCCAGCAGACAATTGAGACAGGGCTCACTCGATCTTGGACAATGCTGACGAAGCAACAAACGAAGATAACCACCGAGCAGACATGCTGGACTATCACAGTCGAATCTGCCACCAGAGGCCAGAAATCGTACGGGCGCACCCGAGGATTACGCTGAAGGTGGTCGAGGAACGTTTCCGTGTCGGTATAGTTATCCGGATCTACAAATCAACCGTCAGCAACAGCGCAACACCAACTTCGAACTTTGTACAGGGCCCGAGCCCACAAGCAGACATACACGATTGCTTAACCCAAAGCAACTTCTTCCAAGCACTCTTCCGCTTTCGACGCCGTCCAGCACTGCCCAACTTTTTCCGCAACGCCGCAGCAGACCCAATATGGGCACTGCTCTCGCCGTTCATCGACCGCAGATTTTCCTCGTAGTTTCTAGGCGCTGACTGGGCGCGCGAGAGTGAAGGCGCGAAGTATGCATCTTCGGGCGCTAGTCGATTGGGGTCGGGGAGGGACCGTTCGAGCTCAGGAGACTTGGACCCCGGGGCGCGATTGGGATGGGTATCGACAGGAATCGGGGGAGGGAAAGGGTCTAACGAGGGAGGAGACGTCATCGAGCACAACTGCAACTAGCCTCGGGGCATGGCGTGAGAAGAAAATAAGTCCGTTGTAATGTAGATGTAACGGCTTGTAACCAGGGCGCGTGACCTGCGGGCATCTAAAGGCTGATTCAGCAGTTATCTATACACACACGTGACCTCATCAACCCTTTCTTCGGGGTTGGACAAGTCACTGGGATTCATTTCTTAGGTGGGACAGAGGAGTTCAAATCAATTTCTTGACTTTCGGAGTCGTTAGAAATATTGGATTTGTGCTCATATATGTACACTTTATCAAAGTGTAAATATCTTTATACTTGAAATCTCAAAAGATATATATTCATCCTTGTCAACAACCATAACCTAGATATTGTCTCTAAAACCAGCAAAGTTAACAAAATAAAGCCTCAAACGCATAGTAAATCTCCCTAGTCACTCGTCTCAAGAGAAATAAGAAATGGGACTGCAATCAAGCTTGGAAAATACGATAGATTAATGCCTAGCAATAGTTAGCTCTGAGAATCCCCCAATTTTGACCTGATTTCGATACATTATGAAGACGACGATGATCGGACAAATGTCCTTCTTTTTAGATTTTCTTTTTCAAATGTAGGTACACATACATACACGCACGCACACGCGTGGAGTTCCACAAGTTTGGATGAAGCTTTCTTGTCGCAGAATACACAGGCCAAATTTGCCATGATGGTCACCAGGGTGATCACATCAAGAATGACGAGGAGCAGCTATGGATCAAGTTATTGCTCAATGACCTTTCGGGAACACACCATCTATCCGGAATCTAAAAGCCCATTGCAGGTTTCACCTCGACAACGGGATCTTTATCACCAGGACTAGAAGAGTTCCGGATATCCTCCTGAAGGATATCAAATTCATCAACACATCCATCCCCAACGTATCGCACTTCCTCGATACCAGAAACAGTGCACAGCAGTCCCGTGCGATTGTCCATGCCTTTGTAAAACTCTTGAGCCTTTTGGAATAGGACCTTTGCATCGTGGGTCTTGAAAACGCGGACCTGCTCCGACACATCCGACATCAGCTTGTAGCGAATAGGGACGGAGGCGTCATAAGTGGAGTTCAGTATGCTGCGGCGCCTCTTTTGGGGCTTCCAAGGACTCTCAAGAGAACGTAATTCATTGTGACTATCGAATGTCGGAATGGGCGAAAGGGTCTTGTACCACGATGGGCGTGAGGCAACTGTGGTTTTATTTCCATTATCGTTCTCTGCGTTGAAATAACTGGCGGTGGAAGCTTGGAGCTTAGACCTCAAGGGGGAAAATGGTGGTTCGGATGAGTTGGACCCGACATCCTCGTTGTCGTCATTTGCATTGGACTGCTTCTTTGGGGTAGTGTTTGTCAGACGCGTGTTAAAAATATCATTGGCCCCTGGGAGCCGAGTGCATTTCCGTCCATTATCAAACATGTGTGGACTGAACGTAATTTTCTTCTCATCCGTTCTCCACAGTTTCAAGCCGCAAGCCTGGACTTCACCTTTCTTCTCGGTCTCGAGCCAGTCCAGTAGGTACACTCCTTTCGTACCCTTGGTCAAGGTTCCTCTGAACTTCGACCGGGGTTGTCCATACACGATAAGTTCCTCGGGTCCATTCTGGAAGTGCAATATCATAATTCGGTATGTCACGGTGCGTCGGGTCTGAGTTTTGAGTGATATCTGAAATATAGATAACTCGCACTCATCGCCATCATCACTGAAGGCTTTGAAATTCTTCCAAGTAGCTAGGGCACGACCAGTCGAAGCCGAAGGATGTTCGGTATCAGGAGCATTTTCATGCCACTCCTCGAGAAGCTCGAGGATTCGCGCCGGGATCGGCTGCTTTGGGCCCATGATGCGCTCTATGGCCAGAGACGGAGGCTGAATTGTTTGGATATTAGGAGTGGTTGCCGGCTTTGCAGGTAATCCCTGAGCAAGCCGATCGAAAGATAGGAACGCAGCAGGAGGGCTAGACCGAGGCACAGGAGAAGGGGCGGTTGGATTGGGAGTTCGGGGCTCTTCCATAATCATGACTTCGCCAGATGTGGAGACTTGATAGCTCACCCGGGGAGCAGTAGGATTTATGAAATGACTTTCGGTCGAAACCGACTGAGACTTAGGGACATCATCTTGCATGAGTGATTCATCGATATCGGTGAGATCAGACTCAGTTGAACTAGAAACTCGTGTGTCAGTCCCTCTGGTGCATTGAGAAAGGAGTCCCGAGAGGCATACTCGGTCACCTCAACCTGAGAAGCTGAGACGTGGGACGCGCCCTGAGCAGCTGGAGATTGTGCTGTGAGGGTTTCCAGCTGATTCGCGATTTCATGAACCCCGTTTCCCGCCATATTGATGAGAATAAGGATAAAAAAGATAAAAAGAATGTAGAGCAGGAATAAAACAGATGAGTAAAGGGTAGAAAGACGAGAGAGAGGAAGAAGCTACGAAGAAAAACAATAGGAGTGGCGTAACAAGCAAGAAGTAGTAACTCCATGCAAATAACTCCCAATAGATGTGAAATTGCGATCAATGTACGTAAGTAATATATGGAGCTTAGGTGATAGCCTAAGGGCTTTTTGAAGAGAAGCCCGGAGTAGAATAAACTGGAAAGAACGGCCATGAGGATGAGGACAAGAGTTGAGGGACTTGGAAGATGACGATGTCAGCAAAGTGACATTGAAAGATGTGCTGTGCTGACTAGACGACATAATATGAATGGATTGCTACACAGCAATCCAATATCAGATGCAACCGAGAGAACGGGAATGAGACCGTTATAATTACATAGTTCGCCGCAAAAAGGGCTGGAATATCGAATATTTCTCCAACGTGATGTTCTATATTGTATAATTATTCGCTATTTCTTTTTGGATGTCCTTTTCTAACGGTTAAATGACGGTAACTCATATAGTCGATGATTATTCTAGACGACACTGTTAGATCTTTCAACCATTCGGCTGCTACTTCAGGCGATTGTGACGCTTTTGCTTCGACTTTATTCTCCAGACGAATAAAAAGCGGCTCGAAGATTATACAGGTAACCGTCGATACTGGGCCTATGACGAAGCTTGTGATGAGGTAAAGTAAACAGTGTCCCAATAAGTGATAGAGGCATGGGAGTCAAGGGTAACTCGAATGATCAGAAATAAAATGCTTCATTAACTATATCATTATTCATCATTCATCTGTTTCGAGAACTACACCATAGTATAGGCTAGACTCGAAGTAAATTGATTGGCTTAGCTCTTCCGTAACTCACCTAGATCCTGCTAAAGCAACTACCAAGAGGTTATTGTTCAAAATACTACTTACTGGATATTAGATGAGGCCACAAAACAATACAATCTCTGTTTATACATAGAAAAGTCCTCCATGCGGTTTATAATTTTTACCCGCCTTTGTATATATCTAAAAAGAGCATCTAAAACCACCTCGGGGAGTTCCTACATCGAACGTCTCGTGTATAATCTTAGCTAAGAACTGTAGAGAACTATGACTGCCAACACTGGCCATCCAGTATCATATGCAACACGAGAGAACACGAGAGAACTGGAATGAGACAATTAAAACATATAGCTCAGAGCCAAAAAAAAAAAGAAAATATTTCTCTAATATGATAACTGAACATGTCCGGAATTCAAACAGGAAGCTAGAAAACTTCAGATAGATCTAAATGTACAACATGAATAAATGCCCGAAATCGCCACATCGTTTTTCACACGTGGCCAATTAAAGGTGCCACTCTGGGTGCACAAAAGAAGTCGGCACGAGATTGCTAGTTCATGGATTGCTTGCAAGGGGTATCAAGACTCAAAGCGGAGGGAGGGTAGGGTCACAATGGCTTAGCATATCAAATGTTATAGCTCACTAGACGCTCTGCCATGTTGTTGAAGGACATTGTTATTTTGAACGAGATTTCGGACCGCCTGCGGTGCGACCACGTCGTCAACACTGTTTCTGCGACCCCAGTTTTGCGGCTGGCGTCGGATAAAGGCACCAACGGCGCCAAGGTAGCCCTCGTGGCGCAGGAAATAAGCTTGCTTCTCGCCCTTGGACCAGAAGCGGATGGCGTAGGAGAGAGTGTTCATCGTTTGGCGGTGGCCCCGGATGAATGAACCTCCGAAGTAAATGTGTTTGACTGAATGTTTTTCTGACTGTAGATATGCGATCTGACCAATATTATTACTAATCGGGGTTAGTTCGGATTCCGTCGGAGAGTGGAAATAATGAAACATACCTGATGGCGTAGAGCAGACTCCTGCTCATATCTTCCGGATTTGGTTTGGGTCCATGGTTGGACTCCCCGGAATCGCTGGTTTCACTAGGGTCACCGCGGATCAAGCCCTCGCCGTCTTCGGCCCCTTGCTCCGCATCGTTCTTCAACCGGAGCACCTTGCCGAAAGTACTGGCAATAGCTGTGCTCTTCAAGCCAATCTTGCTGTAGTCCATGCCGTAGATATCTCCAACAAGCATGTCCACTGCACTGTTGTCTCCGCGGTCGGCCATTGCTAGCATGTCGTCGAAAGTCCGGGAGCCGGTCAACAAAGACATAATGCCCCAGAACGTTCCACCACCGAGATGTGTTCCGCCGACACGCTCGAATTGTCTTGGACCGGAGACTTTTATCATCGACACACCTGATCCTATATTGACGAGGAGATAAGGGTAGACATCGGGCCGGGCCTCGGCATATTGCATCGGCTCAGCATCGGCATCGCTGTATGTGAAGACCTCGTTGGGAATTTCGGTAATGAAAAAGTCCAACCCTTTTTTGGAGATGTTAGACAGTATGCTCGATGCTTAGGTGTATTCAACGACTTACCAATGATCAGACATTCCATCTCCTCTTCCCGTAGAATATTAACATTTAATTCCTCTTTCAGCCGATCGTAGTACTTGTATGCGCCGCCCCCAGTGGCTACCACACACAGTCCCTCCCGTGTCGAACCATTGCGTTTTTCGTGTTCCTCTTTAAGCTGTCGGATGAAGTTGATGCACAGATCGATCCGGTGCGTTTCGAAGTTCAGGAAATTGAGCCGGCCGCCATTGTCCGCGGTGTCTGGCTCTCGAGTGAAATAAACAAGCTTTGCAAGTGTCCCGCCAATCTATCAAGTCCCAATTCCCAGTTAGCCATGCTTTCCTCCGGTGTTCTGAAGGAATTGTCTGCGCGGCCCCCAGATTGCGGGGGAACCGGAAGCAGTGCGGGGCAGATAAAATAAAATTCTCGCGAGCAACTCACATCGACAGCCACATGGCTCACAACGCCTGTGTGATGCGGAAGTCGAATATCCTTGTTTTCGTAGTGTACGCCCTCTGCGTCAACGGGACTCTTTGATCGTGGTTCGTCGTCGACAATGAATGCGCCCGTGACATTGATCTTGACGGCGCCGGGGTTGGTAATTGCAGCTTCCAGACGGTTCGGACGCTTCCGCGGAGCATTGGTATCTACCTCCATCCGTTCGGCCATGATGAATGTTGTAAAGGAGGTAGAGTCGCTGGAGATAAAGAAGGTACCCGTTCCCAGGCTTACTGCGTATATCTCCTTCTACCCGGAACGGGCCACAGGAGAGGTCGGGATCCACTTTTTCTTTTTGGAAACCGAGGAGCTGACGTCCCGAGGCTTGGTAGATCGCTTATGACATACATGTCCTATACCTAGGTAGATCGCGGGCTCCGAGGATCATGATATGCCGATATACACATAGTTAAGAACTGGCGGTCTACTTTCCATTTGTCGTCTCAGATCGCTTTCGGAATTGAGAATGAAGTACCTAAATATTCACTCCGTATGTACATAGACATGAATATATTTGCACATGATCAGCCGTGCCGATGTTGAGTGAAACATGTAGTTAACATGGACGAAGTAGCTGAAAGACAATTTGATATAAAAGGTTTGGAGCAAAAGTAGTTGGACCTAAGGCTGCACATATAAATGGCATATGTGCTAAGCTCCATTATCACAATCGGTATAGATCGGCCAATATCAACGGCTGAACAAAGTACATCAGTACAAGCAGTAGATCGTATGTGGATGCAAGTATATTCCAAGGTTGTCTTTGATATATGGACAGTGTCGATATATAGATCTATATAGATCGGTGGGTCGCTCCTTCCCAATCAAGAGTGGTGGTACATGTACAGTACTTCTGTATCATTTGGTGTTCCCATAATAACTTTGTGTCCAGTCAAGGTACCTCATGTCTCGAGGACGGGCGAGGCAAGTACGCGCGCAATCCATTACTGCGAGACTGCGCGTTACTACTGCGCTCTGTTAGCGTTTGCAAATAAATAAAATCTCAGTGGTTCCCCATCTCCTCTTCCTTTCCTCTTCTCCTCCACACCATCAAGTCATCTACCTAATTGCCTGTCTTCACAGATACCATTCAAGACACTTACAGTCCTCCATAGGTTTCCAGACTATGGAATCTTACGATGAGCCTGATACTGCGTCGGCTGCCGGCGCTGCCTCAGCTGTCGAGTCCGTCTCGGCCGCTGAAGTTGCTTCTGTGAATGGTTCCAACGCTGGAGAGCTGCCTGTCGAAGGCGTTCTTTCTGGTGTCGGTCCCAACGCCGAAGCTGCTCAAAGGGTTGCTCGTGAAAAGGGTTGGACCGAACCAGTTCCATTCGAATATGCTGAGCTTGCTAATAGCAAGGACCATCGTGATTGGGCTGGAATTGCCGTCCGTTATGAATGGAAGGACGAATATGGTGATGTGGGCCCTGCTGTCCCTGAACTCGAGGAGCAGCTTTTCCGTGGTGAACTGATTGCCCGCGCGGGGGCTAAGCTCGACGAGTAAGTGACTTAAATCTGATACGTGGACACCAGATTGATATCTAACATGTCTTTGTCTTCAGGTTGAACAGCTACAAGGTCAACATTGAGAGCCCTAACGAGATCAAAGCGGTTACTGAGGTCAGTCTGCGAGAGAAGTTAGCAACAATTTGCCAGTCTAACGATTCATAGTGGGCAAACTTTGGTTTGCATCCGGTTATCCTCGAGAATATTCGTCTCTGTGGGTACGAACAACCTACTGCGGTCCAGTCATATGCAATTCCGGCTGTTCTGGCCAACCTTGACCTTATTGCCGTGGCCCAAACTGGTACGTACAGCGGAGTATGATGTTTGGCACAAGTTGATGCTAACAAAACATAGGCTCTGGAAAGACGGGGGCGTTCCTCATTCCAATTCTTTCCAAGTTGATGGGCAAGGCGAGGAAGCTGGCTGCTGCTCGACCTAACACCGTGGAAAGATTCAACCCAAGGGAGGATGGTGTTCGAGCAGAGCCTCTGGTTCTGATCGTCTGCCCCACTCGTGAATTGGCCACTCAGATCTTTGATGAATCACGTCGTTTGTGCTATCGCTCTATGCTGCGTCCGTGTGTTGCTTATGGCGGTGCTCCTACTGGCCTCCAGCGTGAGGAGCTTCAGAAAGGATGCGACATTCTGATTGCCACTCCAGGCCGTCTTCTCGATTTCATGAAACAGACTCACGTTCTTTCTCTCCGCCGCGTTAGGTATGTTTGTGACTCACTTGATATACCTCCATGGATATGTTTAATACTAATGGCGGTCCAGGTACACTGTCATTGACGAGGCAGATGAGATGCTGGAATCGGACTGGGACGAAGAGTTTAAGAAGATAATGTCTGGAGGAGGCAAGTGATTGAAAGCGTTTGCCATGACACGCTCTTAACCTCACCTTTACGAGTTTCTGCGTTTCTGCGTTTCTGCGTTTCAGTGTTGCTGACTTGAGAAAGATGTGAACGAGGACGATGACCACCGCTACTTGATGTTCTCTGCGACCTTCAACAAGGAGTTCCGGGCGCTTGCAAAGAAATACCTCAGCCAAGACCATGTGCGGCTCCGCGTTGGCCGAGCCGGCAGTTCGCACCACAACGTTGTGCAGGATGTATGTAAATCACGGAGATTATGAGTGACTTGTGAGGCTCCAGTTCAATGCTAACGCATAGTGAAACCCGAAGATCATTTGGGTTGATAGGGACAAGAAGATGCGCGCGATCTATGACCTTCTGATCAGCATGCCGCCTGTTCGTACCTTGGTTTTCGTCAACAGCAAGGAGCAAGTTGACTTCGTCGATGATTACCTCTACAATTCTGGAATGCCTACTACATCCATTCATGGTGGAAGAACTCAACGTGAGCGAGAGGACGCTATGTGAGTATTTGTTCCCCCCTGGCCCTTTTATTTTACTTTACTAACTCTCTAAAATAAAAGGCGTGCCTTCCGGTCCGCAAAGTGCCCTGTGATGATTGCTACCGGCGTCTCCGCTCGTGGACTCGACGTTATCAATGTGTTGCACGTCGTGAATTACGATCTCCCCAGCGCCATGCACGGGGGCATCACAGAATACATTCACCGTATTGGTATGTCTTACTCTAGCCCGATACTGCTCTATTTCCGATGCTCTTGATGAAATTGGCACTAATACGTATTTCTACTATCTACAGGACGTACTGCTCGCATTGGCAACGAAGGCATCGCCACCTCTTTCTTCAATAAACGCGATGAGGATCTTGCCCCAGATCTTGTTAAGATCTTGATCGAATGCAAGCAAGAGGTCCCGGAGTTCCTTCAAGCCTACCGGCCTGAGGGTGATGTGCTGGAGTTTGACGATGACTCTGACAAGGAATTCTTTGATAACCCATCTAACGCTGGTTCTGACGATGGATTTGCCGCTGGCTCTGGCGCCGAGGCCGAGGGTGAAGCTGAATCCAACGCTGCCGCTGAGCCTGGTGAAGCCGAGGAGAGTGACAAAGCGGTTGCAAGCGATGCCGAAGATGTCAACAAGGAGCGTGCCAATGATGACGATCCCGCTGACCACGACAAGCCCGCTGTTGCCAAGCGCACTGTTCCCAAGCCTACTGTTACATCCGAGGAGGAGGATGCTTCTACGTGGTGGTCGCCTGCCCCGCCCTTGGCCGAAAGCAAGAAGCTTAGGAAAGAGGAAGACAAGCCCAAGAAGACCAAGGCTGGTCTGGCCGGTTCTCAGTGGGCCCCAGTGCCCCCTCCCGCCAAGGACCAAGATTCGTTCTGGGCCTAGAGCTCCGCCTTAACTCTGGCAGTGCTGAGCACAGAAGAACAACAAACACGAACTACAATAAAACGAGAAAAGATCCCCAAGAAAATATCCAAAAAAAAAAAAAAAAAAAGAAAACGGAAACGCAAGAATTCCAACGGCGAAGAAGATTTTTACCAAGTTCCCAATTTTACCCTGGATGATCTGGATCAGATCTCACAGTGGCTCGGAGGAAGTTTTGAGGGCTTAATCTCTCGACAATTTGCAAACTGGATCTGTGGAACATAAGACCCTTTCTCCTGCATTGTGGTATCAGGACTGGATCGGTTTTATCGTGCGTGCGAAGGCAGTGATATGGATGCAAAGGTCGAGATGTGCCGCATTACGGATTTCATGGGTTTATGCAACTATCTAGTTTCATTTTTCTCATTTCCCCCGTATATCGTATAGCGTAGAGATGTAGAGATGTAGAGATTGGTAGGCTAAGGGAATATACCTAGGTGGCTCCTGCTTGTGTAAATGTGTAGCCAGACGTTCTTGACTGTTCTGAGTACATAGACAATGCTTCCTACAATTTTCATCTTGACCCCGTCAACCGAAGCACATTCGATCTTTTCTCAGGGAAACTATTCATCATGCATTGGCTATTCATAGGTTCTGTCGCTCTTTCGATATTCCTCCCAACCTCAGCTTTATTTCACGGAATTGTCGACCATGGTCACTGGAATGAACTCCGCAGGCTCATCCACAACGCTTCGTATAACGCCTCGCACGCAAAGAAGACAAGCCCACCTCTTGTCATAGACACTTTTAAAATCCCAACTCGCAATGACCTGGGATTTTGGCACGGCTCCGGTGAGAATCTACCCGTGCAATACGGGCCAGGCTTCATTCGTCTATTCCCAACAGACCCGGATCAGAACTTCCACACACAGTTCGATTCTCAAACCTGCTACAACCTAATACCCTGGTACAACGAGTACCTCCATGTCATCTTCGAGGGCACGGATCAGTACAGCATCTCTTTTAACCAACACAACGACGAATGCAACCCTCGACGCAGTCCCTTCCCCAGCATCGCAGACTCCGTCCAGGCGGAGCGGTATGTGGTTCATCCTGCCTCTGAGGCCTTTGGCGAGGATAATGATTGTGATGATGAGGACGACGATGACTGGGATGACGATGATGATGTGGACGCCGATGCTGGCAGGAACAAGCACAAGCATGGAAGATCCAAGGGAGGTCGACGCAAGCACCCTCAAGGAAATACCAAAATTCCATCTGGCCGTCGTGAGCTCTATATCCCTCTGACTCATTTCGATATTGACTTTAATCGCGTCGTGTCCGTTTCGTTCCATGGCTTCTATACTAAGGAACCCATCACTCTACATCGTGTGGAGATCGTGCCTGATATTCCAATGCCGTCGGAGGGAAATGGTTACTATCGTTTGCCTGGGAAGCTGCCCAATGGGAGATTGGTTCTCCGTTGTTCGCGTCCGAATTCATTTGCCTTTGGCATCGATGATGGACAGCCGCAGTTCGCTCAGCGGGTCATGCGCATCCTTGACGAGGAGGATGTTCGGGTTACTTTCTTCGTTGTTGGGGCTGGACTCACAGATCGGTCAAGTAATTTTACAGACTTTTACAAGGAGATGTTGAAGAAGGGCCACCAAGTCGCGCTCCATTCAAACACTCATCCAAAGTCAGTTTGTTCTGAACGTTTGATTTCATCTGAAGAGGCTAACATGGTGATCAAGGATGGAATCATTGCCAACCCTCCGTGATATTGATGACGAGATCATCCAGTCCATGCAAATCTTTAGAGACAAGCTGGGCATCCAGTGTATGTTATCTCCTGATGTGTCCTTGAAAGTTATTCTGACTGGATATTTGCAGCTTCATACTTCCGCCCGCCATTCGGTACAGTAGCTGCCCGGCTGCGCCAGGAGCTAGCCAGACACATACCAAACCCGTACATTGTGAACTGGAGTGTCGATGTCGAAGATTGGCTATGGGCAAACACGTCCACCCCAGAGAAGCAGCTTGAAGCCTTCTTCCGCGGCGTTAGAAAGGGCGGGAATCTTGCCGTCATGCACTACCTGAATCCGACTACCATTGGGTACCTACCGGAGTTTATTAGACATATCAAGGGTGCTGGATACCACATCATGCGCATCGATCAGTGTTTGGAGGATGTGTCCGCTCCACCGCTGTGAATGGACAAGGTCGTGAAATCAGTATAGACTCACAGCAGCACCTGTCCTGTGCATATATTATTAAGTGTATACATAATGGATCTCTCTCCTAATTGGTGTCTTGACGCCATCCGAGCAATGATGCTTTCATTCGTTTCTTACTCTGTTCCAGTTACATTTAGAACAGTGAATCAATACCCGAGCAAAGAACACTTGCGATTCCATAAAGCAAGATACAAACCCGTCCAAGCGTGTCAAGCTGTGTATTGAGCAATCAAGCAAGTATATAAAAAGGGTTCAACCAAACACCAACGCCATAAACACAGCTTGTCTATTCAAGCTCATGATCATCCACAGGACAGATGAAATGGTAGTACAGCAACAGAGGAGAATAAAAACACAAGTTTTCCCAAAACGAGCCCAAATCACCCGGTATGCCCAAATACCAGACCGGGCTCCAAACCAAGTAAATGCCAAAGCGTTCCCATTTCTCGCTCTCGATGCAAGCACAAAAAAAAATATCTATAGCAAAAGGATCGACATTCTTCCTCCCCAAAAAAGCAAAAAGCAATATCCATATGAATGTACAGTCAAATCACCTTAATCCCCGAAATCAGGCTTCCTACACAACCCCTTCTTCTCCGTCATATCACGAATCCGAGTAGTAATCCAACCTGACGTCGCATCGCCACTCGGAACCGCATGTCCGAGACGCGGGTTGAGACTCGTGAAGCATTTACCTTCCCGGAAGGCGAATTGCACACATGTTTTCTGCGTCTCGCAGATTAAGCGGCAGTCTTCGAAATTATGTGCGAAGGGCTGCTCTTCGCCGGCCATGTTGTTCCAGTTTGGTCGTATGGGTTGTGTGGAGATTTCTGGGGAGATGAATTCGCGGAAGAGGTCGCCGTGCAGGAGGATTCGTTTGTTTTTCTATAGAGGGTGAGGGTTAGGAAATGTTATCATGTTATGGAATCGGTAGATGAATGGGGGAGGATTGGATTGGGTCGACTTACATCACGCCAGCGCTTTTGTTCGAATTTCCATAGGTTCTCGATATCACTTGGCGAGAGGTGGTGGAGGCCTACGGCGATGAAACACCATGGTTTCCGGTAGAAATCTGTAGTGAACTCGTCCAATTCGCCGATATTGGAGTTTTGAAGGATCGGCCATGTAAAGTGTAGGTTGACACCGATGTGGCTGAGGACCTTGCCCAGCACGCAGTCGCCGGCCCAGTGCTCGTCTGTGAAGTTGTTCAGCTCGACCTCGCGGGTGGTGTATTCGTCGGAGGCGCGCTGTAGAGCAGGGTTCGAGAGCATGAAGCCCGAACCACCGTGGGCGAAGATAACGTCTGCGATCTGAGTCTCCGTGCCGAGATATTGTGGTTTTGTGTGGTCGAACCGGGCCAGCCAGGTTAGGACCGTTGGCCAAGAGATGTACGTGTCCGCTTCGACGAAGATGAACCACTTCGCGTCTGGCTTGTATCGTAGCGCTTCCTGTGCCATTGGGAGGAACTTCCATTTATCGAGTTTCCAGCCTGGATTGTTCGGTTTTCCGATGGCGGAGTTTGCTTCGTCCGAGAAATCATGTTGCTCCAGACCCTTTCGGCCGTATTTCACGATTCGGTGGTAGAAGTCGAAGTCCGGGTTCTTCTTTGCGGCGCTGTCCATGTTTGCGAGGACATCGTGGATTTGGACGCCTTCGATTTCTTCTGCAAAGTCGGAGTAGATTACATAGTGGGGGATGCATCGTAATGTTGTTTTGAAGTGGATGGGGACTTTCTCGCGCGATTCCGTCACTCCGGTTTTCATTACCACGAGCACATCTTCGATGCCTGGTAGGGGTGGACAGAATGGGGCTGGTTCACCGTTTTCTTCGAGGGTCGGGGGGACTTCTGTCGTTGTTGTGAAGTGAGGGCGCCATTGTCGATTGTTATTGGAGAGAAAGCCGATGTTGTAGAGGAAGAAGAATGCGATGGCGGTTGCAACTGCAATCAGGCGACGACTGAACCGGCGGGGCACCATGCTGAGAGAATATGAGTACACCAAACAGAGGATAGATCAATTGGTCATTTTTCGCTAGAGTAGATGATTCTCAGACCTTTTGCCCCTCTCCTGTTGACCAAAAGAGCAAAAGAGCAAAGAACTGGGGAAGTCGGAGCTAAAGTTGATTTGACGCCGAGGTTTGTCGCTGACACATCGGGACGCGTAGCCCAGGTGGAATTTGGAGAGTTTCAAATAGCTGCCCCTTGAATCAAATACCTCTGGTTTGAGATATGGTAATCCCTTGCTATAATTGAGAGATCCCCCAGGCTTCCTCATTCCCTCAGGGGGTGAACAGCTCCAGGGTCCCGCACGTCAGGATCCACCGAGATCTGCACGGGCAGTGCAGGATATCATGACGCATTGAATAGTTGAAAGTAGCATCTAGCTATAAGATTTATATGGAATTATATAGATACATATTACTACACCGAACCCAGAACAGTATTAATTCATTCAACTCCAAGACCCGAGAATGCATTATTTGTTGCATCACTGCGCAGGTTGCGTCTTCTTCTCAATCATCTTCGTGTGCAACTTAACCAACTCCGGAATAATAAGACTCTCAATCTCAATTCCATCCCGACTACTTTCATCAATCTGCTGAGCCTCCGCCTGCTGCTCCAGCGTCACCGAATTCCCCTTCTTAGCCTCCGCCAGCCCAACCTGATCCTCAACACCAGAGATACTCTTGCTGCGCCTCGACTTAGGAACTCGAAGCCAGCGCTCATGCGGCTCCTCAGGTGTAATGAAAACCACCTCCCACTTGCGCGTCGAGAGCAAATTGCCAATCACAAGGTGGTGAGAGTAGCGCTGCAGCGCAGTGCGCGCCTTGTACACAAGCAGCGATGGATCTGTCTCCAGTTTAAACGAGACAACCATACTCCCCTCCGGAGCCCATCCGTCCACCAACTGGTGTAGGAACTTAGGCACGGGGTCGAGATTGATAACCAGCTTCCTGCTATTCGACGAGGGATTTTCCTCGTTCTCGCCCGTATAGATTTCATCCGATGAGATTGCGCTACCACGCATGTGTGGAGGCAACTCCCCAGACTGGATCTTATGCTCAGCCATACGACTGCGCGGGATGAAGAAATCGCTAACAGCAGCCGCAAGGTAGAAGAGCGCATTTGGTCCAAGCGGCCGCATCAGCTTCGCAATTGACCGCAGCTCGAACATGTATTCCGAGACCGTCGTGAACGGCAGCAAGAGAAGACGGTTGTTCTGCTTCGCATACCGGTATTTCCGCAGCACGCTGCGCATCTGGTCATGGTACTCGTCGCGCACCATGATAGGTCCATGGCCAGGGTTGGAGGAGTCCGCCAATGCAGGCGCCTCGTCCATGAAGTCCAGGAAGCAATTGGTGGAGTGGCTGTAGTGTCGCGAATATGGTAGGAGACTGTATTGTCGGTGCAGGAAGATCACTGCGTACCCCTGCTCTAGGAAGTACTCGGCGGATGTGGCGCCTCGGGTTCCGGCGGAGAAGTTGTCGATGAATCGTACTGTTTGCGCTTCGAGTGGTACTGTTGTGCCTCCAGATGTGACGAGTACTACGCGGCGGTTCTCCTCCACGTGGAGGTCAATGAATGCGCGTGCCAGCGCTTCGTGTCGTGGTAGGGCCTTTGGTGGGGGGTATTCATTGAAATAGACGGATTCTGCCTCCGCTGGGGACATTTCGCCGAGTAATGGGGCGGCCATTGTGAATTATGATAGAAATGCTTTGCGACCGAGAAAAAGAGGTGAACAATTGCGAACGGAAGGTCGGTCGTTGATGTGAACTGCAGCTGAGATGCCGAGGCTTGCCGCTCCGCGCCTTAACACCGTGGTGGGGTTGCAGTGGAGATTCTTTGATGCCGGTTAGCTTTCCAGGATTGGTCGAGCGTCTCGTTCTTTACGTTGTACGTTCAACGTTTTTCAAGGCAACTGAGTAGCTAGGTTGAGCTACCCCTCCATTATATGTGGTTGAGAATGATCGTCCTGATCCGGCACTAGCGCTCCCGTTTGACCGATCCGTGACAATGAATACTTGGAATATCTGAGTACATATAGAGAGCTCCGGTCAAACTGAAGATATAGGATATTCACAAATATCCATGTCACTGGATGCGCATCTCCAAGGCCCCGAGGTGCCACTCGGTCACGTGGATGCCATATGCGGACCATGTGCCCCCAAGAGGGTTGCAGGTATGCATACTCTCGGTGCCTGACGCAACTGGATTATGTCGGCGTAGAGACATCTGCATACCGGAGGTTTTATTAATCCTCATCCTAGACTCTGATTTACTTTCCAGGAGCGACTCAGAGCCATCGCCCAGGGATATGAAGAGTTAGGAAATCAGCTTTTACTTCTACGAGGGTTTGAAATAATAAAGGGAAGCCTTTTTTTTATGGTTTTCCCCGTCTGGTACGACAGCGGAAGATAAGAAATAGAAATAATACAAACAGTGGTCTCAGCATTGAAGTGAAATTCTAACAGTATCTAAGATAGGCATCTAATAAGTAGAGTTGGAGGAAGCAAAATAGTTGAACGTGGTGCAAATTCGCCGCCAATTGCGACAGCCGAGGACAAGGGGAATGTGCAATAACCCAAGGCTGGGCTAATATATCAGTTCACCTCGCACAAAGGGCCATACACTGTTCCTCCAGTGACCTCTTCCCAACCCTCACTCCCAATGCAGTGATAACACCAAAACGCCTGGTCGGGGTCATACTTGTTTTTGACAGACGAAAGCCAGTCATACATATTGCCGTAGTCCGCAGTGATTTCCTTGCAGCGCTCAGGGTCGTACCCCAGGCCTTGGTAGCATGATTTGGCTATTGGCTCATTGGTTATGAGCCTTCCGTTCACGGTGGTAATTAGGGAGTTCCAAGTTGAAGGCGAGGGCCAGCAGTCGTCAGATGGAGTCAATTTGACGTAGATTAGTTAAAATCTCATAATGGTGATGAACAATTTAGGGAAAGGGTTAATGTACACGTCTGCACTTCGCAGAAACAGACTGGGCCGCATCAAAGAGGAGAAAGGCGTAGAAGAGCATGCTTGCTATGCTAAAGAGGTTGACTTCTGATTACAAAAGCAAATGCAAATTGGATGGAGTAATTTATATAGTCCATTTCTACTCATTGATCTTGCTTCAGTATCACTCTTCTTATTGCGGAAATCATGATGCCGAGCCTCGGATCATCTAAGAGCTGGCTGCGACGAAGTAGACTAGCCCCAGCATCATCAGCGCCAATACTAATCAGATAAGTTTGAAGCCAAGGGATGACGTACCAGAAGATCTGCTGCGAAGTACACATTGACATGGAGTTCAGATTATGTGGGGCCATAACAAGGCCTACCAACGATTAGTATGCGGTCGAGACGATCTTGTAGACTATATAAAGGACTCTTTATCCTCATGTTTTCTACTCTAAAGGATAACTCTTCATTTATCATTAATCAAAGAATCTTTATCCATCTGTACTTCGTTTACCAAAGACCATGGCCCAGTATTCTTATGTTGCGGCACTGGCGCCTCTGCTCAGCAACAGGGAGGCTATCACAACAACGAGAAGTTATCCTTACAAGGAAGCACCAGAGTCTATTGATGGGACAAGGCCGCTACATGTATCACAACGTCCAACACCAATCCGCATGGTGCAGTCCCAGGCCCTGGCTATAGTAGCAAGTTGTCCTTCTCAACACCAAGCAACGCTCGTTGTGAGGATCAAGCCATTCAATCGCATCCCAAAGCCATTGAATTCAACCCATGCGCTATTCCTCGTCAGTACAGCCCTCGATTGTCTAGACGCTAGTCAGCTAATGCTTTTGCAGAACTAGATGAGCTGTGGTTCGGAGGACTCAATATCAATCCCTTCGCGCGCGCCTATGCCCCCGCACTGGCGACATACGGCATTACGCAAAGGGGGTTTATCCAGTTTATCGACGGGCTCAATGAAGCGTGGCTTATTAATCCTTCACTCAACTATTTCGGTATGGCCTCTGGAGCTGCGGGGATGGCTCTCAGTGCGGAACCTTTCCTTATAGGCCCAGCTTTGGGAGCCACACCACTCGCTGCGACGGGGGCTTCAGCGGTGGCGACGATCCAACGTACTAAAAATCACCTGAAAGTGTGGAACGAGAAGCTCTTCAACCCTGTTGGTTTACAGGCCAAGATACTCAAGACGGATAAATTAATGCCGCTTCTTGGGTACACTGGGGATAACGTGTGGGAGCGATACGAGCGTAGTGCACACGGTGGCGAGGAAGCAGCGATGGATTCTGGGGACGACAAATCGCCGGAGCAGATCAAGTCTGCTACACAACGAATCCTGCGCCAGAAAATGGAGCCTCGAGCACCGTACGTCATGTCGCCCAATTTTGATGTCGAAGCGCTGGTAGAAATGGAGGGGATGATGAAGCAGTGGGGGGGCGAAGGAGGCGAACCGGATGGAGAAGCTGCAGCTCAAGATGATGCGACGTAAGAAGGAGGAACAAGCAAAGAGGTATCGGAATGATCAGCAGACGGTCGAGAATCTTCGATTGGAGATAGGGGCTCTGTTCTAAGGGACACCATGAGAGCAGGGAAGCGGAGTTGAAGCGGAAGCTGCAAACAATTGAGCAAAAAACAGGGAAAATTTTCGAAAAGAAGGCCAAGAAGACTGGAAGCTGCGATGGATTGTGATCACCACTCTTCATAACCCAGAATCAGACGATGTTGAAGAGTGCCCGACCCCTTAGGAATTAACCCTATAGCTGGTCGCTTGTTAAGAATATACTATCGTTTCTTTTACCTGTTCTATTCAGTTCTGATGGGCTTAGAAAATCGTCACCTACACGCCTCCACTCCCAGTTGGCGCTTGGAGCTTATAGCAAGGAATATAGAGCAGCTATAAAATCTACATCCTCTATATAACTTGACCCTTAGTTAGCAGAGGTTGTATCTGATGAAGACCGAAGTAATTCGATAATTTTGCAAAAAGAACTACCTACTCGCTTATATAAAACGCGCAACGCGAAGCCATGCACTGTTCTTAATATTTGCCATGCCATATTCCTAGCCCTGTCATCCAGTCGTCTGTCATCTAGTAACCTGGGCATTGACCTCCAAATCCAATCTTAGTCGCAGTACCGATTCAGCAGGTCCGCACGCTCACGTAAATTCTGTCGAAGCTTAAACCGAGGTTCATATAAGGGTTTATATTCGTACTACTAGGGTACTAGGTAAGACCAATACGGGTCCTTACAGAATCTCAAACACATCTTAACGACCCGCGTAAGCTACATCATACTACGTCATAGAGTGCAATCTGCCAAACTTGATGTTGCTATGTAAGAGGTATATTTCACTGTAGATACCGGCTGCGTAAAGCTTGGCTGATGGTACTCATCCGACTCGCCATTCCACCATGCTGCATGTTGCTCAAAAGGGCCTCCTCTAGGGCTGACTGGGTAACGCTTGCATCTGACCAGTTGATCAGTTGAAATCCAGATTCCTCGGGGTTGGGACACATACCGTCGAGATCACTGAAGCTGCTTCCCATGCTGGGGGTACCATCGCTAGCTTCGCGACCGGAGGCAGTGGACCTGCGGGAATTTTGGCGCTCGGCAGCGCGCTGGGAGCTCAGGATCGATGCCCCTTGACTGGTCCGTCTGGGTCCACCGGGTAGGCTGCTACGCCCACCGGAGCTGATAGAGCTGGTGGATGACTCCGTATTTACCGGTACTCTGGGACCAGACCGCTGTTCGTGAAGTCGCCGTTGCGCCGCTGCGCGCTCGGCATCTAAACGGAGGGTGGCGCTGAGTTCCTGGCCTGGACGATCCAGATGGGTATGTTGGTGTTCTCGGGCCATAGGAAGGAACGCTGGAGTGTCTTCTTCGTCGTCCTCATCATCCCGGAGACCAGAACGGTGGGTAGAAAATTTGCCAAACCGTTTGAACAGGGGAGCACGCCTCGTGTCCTCATCGCCGGATTCAGACTCTTCCGACGAGCTCGTGGACGGGGACTCTTCCTCCAGTGTTGGAGACCGGGGCAAAGACGCGATGGGTGGCTGTTCTCGTCTGACAGTCGAAGGCCGACGACCAAAAGAATCCCAGTGTGGTTCTTTCTCCTCGGTTGTCGGCGTGCCAGTGGATGCAGGGTCCCGGGATCCGCGGGTTTGGTTAGTAGCCGTAGTTGATGTAAAGCTCGTACGTCGGTTGTCAGGGGCTGCAGTCAATGTCAAACGCGATCGATCCATCGGTGGGATTAAATATCCCGTACTAAGACGGGTAGAGTTTCGGTCCATACCTCGAAGAGGGATATCTTTCTGGTGAGATACTTGCCGTGATGGCGCCCGAGAACCTATGGATCTTAGTCTCAGACTGCAGTCAATATAAAACAACCATGGGATATACCTGGTAATGGCGTTTCTTTTTGTGACAAGGCCGTACTACCAGAGACCGATCCTAAAGCTGGGGAAGGAGAGTTCGGCTGCGTAGTGCCAACCTTGCGCATTTGAGCCCGAACCTGTGACAGCTGGCGATCATAAAGCCATGCTGCCTGCTGAAGCAGGAACTGCAAGGTGACATCGAAGTTCTCTGCCCTATATCAACCATGTTAGCAGGCCTCGGCTTTGTAGTGTCCCGGGCAGAGTGCAGTTACAGAGCTTTCCCTACGGTGATGTTAGCGGTGTCAAAACAAGAGAAAGCAAAGTGTCTAAGTAGCGGCAATACATACAGTCAATATCACCTTTTGATGGCCGAGAAAGGATATCCCATAGCGCTTGGTCTTTGGATGCATTCCATTCCACCTATTTACGTCAGTGGATGCTCAAGGGGTTTCTCTTGGGGAGACTTGCAGGCGGCGGATCGACAAACTCGCCCCTGGGAAATCGTAAGCGTATAAAGACTGTGAAATTAGTGTCGACGGAGTCGACTTTGATGGACATCCTGTAAATTGTGTAGATTGCGATGTTGAAAGCGAGATCTTTCACCACTCCTGTCCAGCTCAATAAGCAGTCCTTGTTTGCTTAATGAAAGCCAAAACAGGTGACTTTTAGAAACTAGATGATCGTTTCCCAGATAACCTGAGACTCCAAAAAGGATACAATAGATGCGTTGGCGATGGGTGTTGGGGGTGTGACGACGGCAGGCGGTCATTTTGATTGGCAGACAAGGTGCGTGGAAGGCAACGAGGCTCTGCGTGGAATTTCCTTAATGCGGGTAGTTGAGAGCTAATAGATAGGAAATTAAATACCGCCACGAGAGGTCAGATACATCGACACACCAGAACAATGACATGGTTCACATTACGGAGATTATAGAAGTGAAATATTGGCAGAAGAGAAAGTGTCGTTGTTAGACTTGGTAAGGTCCCAGTCAATTTGATTGTCAGGAAAAGTTACACTGTAGTTATACTGCATGGGTGTCTGGAAATTCGGGCATAAATCGTACCTCGTAGATGATCTTTGCTGATTGCTAGTGGATAGCTTGTATATTAGAAACGAGAAATAAAATATGTTAGTAGCTATACGTATGTTGTACTTGATTTCTTCTGCCAGGTGGGGCTTTCCTATCTTAGCTGCCGCCGCTTTTATGAAAGCGCTCAGAGTCAGGCTCACTGTGTAGATTTCAGTCTGGACTCGGACTTCGCGAGCCGCTCAGATAAATCACGTGATTAACCAGCGAGGTCCAATAAACGCTCAGTGAGCACTCACTGAGTCTGATTGGATGCTCGCTAATCGCTCACTGATTACTCAGAGACTGCTTAAGAGGCATCCATCAGATGGATTCCATCTATTGAACACTCAGTCTACGCTCAGACCATACCCGAAGAAGCACTTTGCCCCATGATACTGTTAACTTTGCGACCACTTTTGGATGGCCTCAATTTCACCGTGCTCCTATTTCTGGAGGTGCATGATCTTCCAGTTTTGTTCCGCTCTCAAAAATAGCGCACTCGAGCACGATGACGCAAAACTGGAAGGCACAGAGTCCATCTATCACGGGGAGGAGGGAGCCGGAGAAAAGTCTTGGGTCATATCAAATTACTGAATTATAAATTGGAATTCTTTTTCTGCTTCATTCCTCCAAGATAGCTTTCTCTGTCTTCTACCTCATCCTTTCAGATTCTGTCTAATTTGAAAAAGGGCATATCATACCAAGGCCGATAAGTCCTCTAAATACATATTCGACATCGGAATATCTCACGGTGGATGCAGAGAAGTTGTACAGAGGGGCGCTGCTCACTCTTTTAAGTCCAGAAAAGAGGAATGTTAGAGGGTAGGGAGAATTTTTAAATCGGTTTTAGGGCCTTGCATAGCAAAAAATGACACTTCGGAGTTAAAGCAAGCCAGTGATGCTATCCAGATGAGTTTAGAAAAGGAATTGATATAGCCACCCCCCTTTGGATCAGAAATCTCCGTTCCCTGGGCGGCCCACCAAAGAAAATATCATCCACACTTTCCATATGTCAGCGTGATTATATGTTCAAGAGAAGGACTGACTGTCCACTCATTCTCATGCAGTTTTATGGGTTGGGTTATGCACAAATCTTGGTGCCCATGGGTCCTTGTTTGTCAAGGTCTAGTACTAGTTCAGCTGTCTTAGCTGCCCATTTTTGTATGAGAATGACATATACAATTGCTATTCTTTCTACAGATTTGAGAAAAGGGTTCCCTGAAAGCAACGTGAAAGGACGGAAATACTAGCTCCCTCAAGAAGGACTCTCGTCACCAACCCGAAGGGGCTGCTCTCTGCATGATTGTACCGTTGTTCTGACCTACTTGAAGGCCTGAGTTGTAACTCCCAAATGTGATATCCGTATTGTGATGGACATCGCCAGCCTTCAGCACTAGAGTGGCCTTTGTTTCCTGCGCGACCTGAGCCGGGGCAAGCCGATTCAGTACGTCCTTAGCATAGGCCGCAGCAACCATCGCCGCATAGCCCTGCCACGCTTTGTTTTTGTGTGAATCAGAGTAGTCGCAGATACCACGTATCACAAGACAAGGGAAGTAATTGACCAATCCAGCTGCTTCCATCTCAAAGCATAGGACATCGTTTTGTTCGACGAATCGGTCCCTAATCTTGGCATTCTTCATAAGTTGGTTGGCGGATGCGATCAGACCGTAGTGGATCTTGGGGTTATCGTCATATTTGGTACGCTCATGTCTGGTAACTAACGAGGATTTATCGTCACCGCAAGTAGTAGGGCAAGGCTCCTTGCTCCCAGCCGGGTGGACAATATCACTCTTATATAGTCGATCCGTCGCTAGTTCCGGACGTCCAAATTCTCTTCTCAACCGCGGATAGTTGTTAAGGACTTCGTTAACCGCCTCTTCAATCTTATGGCCCTTGATTGTGTACTGTTTGTCGAGTCCTTGTACCGCCCCAAGTAGGGATCTAGGCGGCGGGCTGAGAAAACCAGTTGGTTTGAAGCTTTCGCCTTGGATCGTCTTGCCGAAGTCATACTGCAGCACGCCACCTTCACCATTACCAGGAACCCCAACGACTATATCACCAAGCCGAATGTCGTGCTCTGAGCTTGGTGCACCACCGCCGATGCCAACCATAAGGGCAATCCGAATATTAGTGAAGCTACGGATCATATCCTTAGCCACACCAGTCGCTGAAGATATGCCGTATTCTCCCTTAGGAAGCGCGGAGATGACCACATTATGCTTCCCAATCCTACCATAAGTATAATCGTTGGTGTCATCGGGCGATACATCGATAGGGCGATCGTGCGTTTCATCCAGAAATACTTCTGCGGCAACATATTCAGGCTTGATGGCCGAAATCCAGCCCACACTGTAGTCCTTCGTGCTTGACATCGTAGAATCCTGAGATGAAATGGTTGTATTTAAGTGAGAAAATCTTTGATGTTTATTAGAGTGACTTGAGTTTGGAAAACGGTGGTGTCAGATTTGTGGGAGGAATGAAATTGTCGTTTTGGCGCCCATCGACGAAACGCCTTGCTATTTATTCTATAGCGCGTAAATTCCAGTCACCTGATGGTGAGGCTGAATGCTCCCCCCCATTCAGATGATCGTAGCCTAATTCGGATTCGGCTCTCTCTCACTTCATGAGGATGAAAGATAGCAACAATATGGTCTGTATTGGTGCTGTCAGGAGAGACGAAGAGGGGAAAGGAGAGAAGAACTATCAACTGTCCACTACTTAGCTAGTTAACGTACAGAATGGATCGAAATCAGTTTCATCAATTTGCTCTCATAGATCTTTCTTGACCCCTCTTTCGAAGCACGCTAACCGATGACAGTTACTATACGCTTGACCCCTGATCTTGGCAGCGGTATTATATAGATAGAGAGTAGGTAGGCAGAGCAATAAAAGCGGCTAGGGACGCTGCTAAACTAAAATAGGGAGAGAGCGATAGGGCGGCGGTGTAATCGGAGCCGATTCTAGCCCCCCCCGGCTCACCGTGTCCTCGTATACTAATATAATCGCTTTAAAGGTCTTAAGATGAATCGAACGTCTATCAAAGTATTAACAGTATTCCGCTCTATCATTGAGCTACAAAGGCTACAGTTTAAGATAAGTGCTGAAAGCATCTAAACGCGAAGCAAACTTTACGATACTTATAAACGTATTAGAACACTACGGGTATAACTGTTATGATTATAACAATTAATAGGCTTTGGTTGTAAGAATGAAAACAACCTTAAGTTTTGAATTCCTTAATTTTCAGTCAACTAAACCACTCGAGTCATGAAAAATTTTGCTTTTTACTTAGGAGTCATTTTGTTTTCCTCTTCGTCCCACTGTTGCGCGTCTAACAAAGAATGTAGTCTACCTACTTAGGTAGTTGCCCAATGGATTAGAAAACATCGGTCTGCCAAAGACTGGTACGTGCTTTTGAACCTTGGCAGTATCATTATAACCCAATAAATTCTATATGTCGGTCGCGTAAGTTACTCAAGGCGACCGAACGACCAGGGGTGATTCTCGTCAGGATTTATACCCTGTCTAGGCCGCACTGACCCATTTTCCCTGGGGTCAAACTACCTTGGAGCGGCAGCTAACTATCTCGGAAATAAGCTGGGTTGATTTGATTGGTTTTTACAACCTTCAGGGGCCTCGGGTATGTCTGGTCATATGGTGTCCCAGATCGCCGCGGTTGCATGTCCAGTGGTGTTTGTGAACAGTTTCTGTAAAAAAAGGGGGGTCTGAATTGGCTGAATAGATTCTAGTGAAACCTAAGAGCTAAGACCTCACCAGAATCATCCACGAATGTCACCGTGTTATCGCGTACCACCAGAAATTTGGGGTTGCGATAGCTTGGTGGAACCCAAAGCACCTTTTTCATCCTGTTGTATATCCATTCACGATCGACATAGATAACCGATCGAGGCTGCTCGGATGACTTTGAGCCTTGAGGCCCCATATCAAGCGTCAGAGTCCCATGATCTGTGATGAGATACTGGCCAGTTGACGTCAAGCCAAGATGGCGGGATGAGTAGCCGAAAATCGTTTGCATACATCTTTTTTGTGGGACATCCCAGATTTGGATCGTACGCATCAGACAAGTGGAAGCAAGAATGCGCTGGTCACAGGAGATAGCCACACCTTCGACTCCGGAATCATGAGGAATAATGCTAAGACAGTTCCCACTGGAAATATCCCAGAGCCGGACCGTCTTGTCGAGCGACGCAGATACGAGAGTGTTTCCATCCTGCGTAAAGGCCAGACCATTCACCCAATCTTGATGTCCATTCAACGATTTGAGACAAGTTCCGCGCGTGATATCCCAAATTCGAATGCTCCGGTCTCGGGAAGATGAGGCGAGTATTCGTTCAGGCTGTGAGAAGACAGCCTTTTCAACATAGTTTGTGTGGCCGAAAAGTATTGCAAATGTCCCGGTCTGAACGGTCCAAGTGATGATGGTAAAGTCATGTAAAATGGATGCCAGCATTTCCTGATCATCTGTCAACACAAGGCTCTGGATTCCGGCAGAATATTGAACGAATGTCTTCAAGTGTTGACCAGACAAAGTGTCCCAGAGTTGAATTGTGCCGTCAAAGGATGCGGATGCTAGCGTTTTTCCACTTTCCAAGAAATGCAGATCACTGATTTGATCTTGGTGACCTTGCAAAATCAGGGGGCATCTTTCGTTCCCCATGCTATACAAATGGATGCATGAACTCGAGAATCCGACTACAATTATCTCTGCATTTTCCGCCACTGCAACGGAGGTGACTCTGTTGAGCTTTTCCAGTGAACTCTTTTGTCTCTTGGGCTCTGGAATAGTGCCAATATCCCAAAGGTGGACGGTTGTATCTTGCGAGCCTGATGCAAGTAAATCGCTTGCATTTGAAAATGTGAGAGAAGTTACGGGGAGTTGATGTGCTTTCAACTGCTGTAAACACTGCTTTGTGGTAAGACTCCAGAGTTTGATAGTTCTATCATTGGACCCTGAAGCAAGCAATCCTGAATTCGGCGCAAAAGCAAGCGATCGAATATTCATCAAATGGCCTTCGAGGGCGAAGACTTTCTTGCCCGAATGGGTGTCATATAATCGAATATCTCTCTCTGCTGCTGCCAGGAGGGTTCCGTCATATGAAAGGGATAATAATTGGAACTCCCCAATATCATCCAGAACAACACTCTCGTTACATGCATTATCTGTCACAAACCAGATATGGACTGGGTCGATGTCTGACCATGTCGCAAATGCCGTCGTATCCCCTGAGAAGATCAAGAATGTGCCATGGTGAACTTGTTCATCTGATTTCATGGCTCCCTGTTGGCTCCCTAGCTCTGGGTTCCAATACTCAACCGCACAGTCATAGGACATCACTCGGAGTATAAGCTCATTTCGCATCCAAGCCATTGCCTTGTAGCCATGTTGGTTTGGAAGGGTGGTAACACAGTGTCCTGTTTCAACATCCCAAATTCGAACCTCGCGGTCGGAGAGTGTGGCTAGGAACTGCTGTTTGCCTGATTTAGAGAAGTCAATAGCTGTTATTAGATCTTGAAATCCTTGGATAACTTTGAGCGTTTTGCCGGTAATCACATCCCATAATCGTATCGTCAAATCACTGGATGCTGATGCCAAGATCCTGCCTCTCTCCGATAAGGCCAATATGTGGACGTCACCACCATGAGCTTCTAGACTCCGTAGGACGCAGTATGGCCAGTGAGGATGCGTTTTGGGTAGGTTCTGAACGCTCTGCAGAGCCTCATTTGCAAATTTCTGGCGTACAAGACTGTCAGAGGGTGCAAAAATGAGTCCGCTAGTGTATAACTGCTGTGGATTCTCTTCCATGAGATTGCGATTATGTCTGATGAACAGAATCAAGTCCTCAATAAAGTTTAGAATCTGGAAATTTCTGTCGCACTTGATTTAGAATTAGAGAAAATCGATTTTGAGAGGAGCACAGGGACATGCCTTTGCCAATGATGACAAATTCTCCAATGCATTCAATGCCTCGACGGATCTTCCCATACACCCTAGAACCTCCAGCCAATGAAGTGAATGATTGAGAAGAAGTCGAGATATAGTCGCATTTTCGTAGAAAGTCCCACCGCACTCTATCAGGTGCGCGACCCAGTTCAGACATGCATATTGGATTTCAGGGGTGATCGCCTGTCGTGGATAAGATGGAGCTGTTGCATGATCGAAAGACGGGTCGTCAGACTGACAGATACCTCTTTTTAATGTTTTCAAAAGAAGATCCAAGCAGCCGTTCAACACGACTTTGTGCGCTGCCCTTTTATCGACATAGAACGTATCGTCGGTGCACAGTTCCCTATCCAAAAGGAATTCCCGGAAGGTGGAGTGATGAATGCGGATTTTGTCAATGCTGTTCTCTTCATCATTCGGGAAATCAATAATAGATTTCAAATTACTCAGAATATCATGCACGTCAATATCATCTGTGTCACTGGCGATCAGTTTATAAAAGGAGCGCGGAGACAACTGGTCAAACAGAACCACTAAGCTGCCGAGATAACGTCGCAAGATGCCACAACAGGTAAAGTGGGAATCTGGCTCCCACTCTTGCGATTTCACATAGTCGTCGAGAATTGTCAGATAGAGAACACTTAGTGCTCTTTGTGGGGGATGAGATACTCCATCCCCTAACAGCTTTTGCAGATTGGTCTTATAAACTCCCTTCGACTTATTAAGAAAGCGAGAAGCCAGAGCGGCCCACTCAAATATTCCGTTTGCTTTGTGCATCAGTAGCTCGAGAGAACTTGCGTCTGGCCAACCATGTCGGCGTGGATTCACAGCCATTTGGAAAAACAAACGAATGTCTCGGTTCACGATAGCAGGTTCAATGTCATGTAAGACAATGTGATGATACCGAGTGTCACTTGAATCGGGGGGCAAGAGATGCGGCCGGCTGGTAATGAGGATTCGGAGACCAGTTGATTCTTTTTGTAAAAGTTTGCGGAGGAGCCATTCGCCGTCCGTACATTCGTCTAGCGCATCAATGACCAAAAGGAATGACATTTGGGTCTTCGGGAAATGAGCCAGTGGTTCTAAGACCAGACTATTCCATTGATCTTCCAGTCCCTTGTCAAGTATCGATGGATCCGACCTAAGTGCATCATCGATCGACTGCTGGATAGAGGGTGACTTCTTGCCGAGCTGTTTTGCTACTGTTGTGACAAATTTCGCATAGGACTGACAGTCTTGATTGCCCTTCCCAAACATGAACGACACATTGTGGTTCGGGTATTCTTTGGCTACTGTGCGAGCAATGGCTGTTTTCCCTGTTCCTGGCCATCCGCTGAGCAAGAAGAGATGTTTTTCTTGTGGCCTCTCCACCCATGCATAAATTCTTTGCAACAGTTCTTGTCGAGTACCCTCGTAGCAATATCGGAGGCTATTTTGATCTTCGTGGCTCGAGTGGTTGAAGATAGCTTGTGGTACCTCGGGCAGATCGGGGACTGGTTCTGGCAACGGGTGATCAGTCAATTTTCTTTTCTTTTCTTTCTTTTTTTGGATAGAGGGCCCCCAGGGCGCTGTTCAGTTTACCCGGCTTAATTTGCGAAGAATCCAGGATAATCGTGCCATAATTGGTGCCAAACTGATTACCACCACTGTTGAGGCCAAATGAGATGGATCCTGTGTGATTCATTGGCAGGGCCATTGTCTGAGTCTCAGCTGAAGGAGGGGGAAACTCCACTGCGCTGCGCGAAGATAAGGAAGGAATCAGATCGGCTACTACTTCACGTGGAGTACCCTGTATGGGATTTACATCTCTATACAGAGAGAAGCCCCAACGTTCCGATCCGGTACGGTACGGCACGGCACGCGGTAATTACACAGGTCGCCTCGCATCAAAGTACGCTTTCGTACTGTGATTTCTAGTACCTTGGCCACTATGTCAATCACATATTATAAACCAGAGAGGGTCGCGGTTTATTATTACTATAGCTAGGATAAGCATGGCGTTGTAGCCTCCTGGCAACCTTCATTAGACTTTCGCACCTTTGATATGGGCCGCCAACCTCCTAGAAACTGAGAGATCCCCAGGTTACGTCAATTCTCTGATACTTTCCATTTCTAGTATATGTTGTACACTCTGAAGCCTCTTATTCTTCTGTTTTTTTCTCCCACCTTAGATGGCTTCTCTTTTGCTTAGGATTTCTCTTCCATAATTTTTGAACAGTTGATAATCCAACTGATGGGGCTTTGATGAGGAAAAGAAAACACATTGAGCCATTATTCTCCCCGTACTGGCTTTGAATATATATTCTATAGAGTGTTCTACCCAACAATACTGAGGGAAAATTGTAAATAAAAAGAAAAAGTAAAAAGGTAAATGAATGATTTGTCTATCTTCTTCATACACGTACATGGAAAGAAGCATCTATTATGCTTATTTTTCGTATACCCCCATTATGATAAATCAGAAAGACTCGGTGAGAATCGAAAACAACAAGAAGAAGCAAAAACTGACTGAAAGCAGGCTTAATTGAAATATCGAAACGCTAATGCAGTGTGATAACGACCTATACACTAAGGATAGCAAAGGTATAATCAAACTGCATACAGCCAAGGAATCTAGTCTTCTTTTGGTAGGAGCCTGGCTGCATGCCTGAGATCTGCATAGTGCACCCCAGATTAGGGTTAGTGTTGTAGTATGAGAATGGCCAGTATTAATGGGAATTTTCTGGGATTTTTAACATCTTTTGCTGAGAAGTGAGAATAAATGAAAACAACAAACGGTTGTCTTCGATGGGATGTTAACGGCACTTTCAATCAGCACACACCGGAGAAGCAGAGTATTAAGTTTCTTGGTCTTCTGTACGGACAATCGTGGGCCTGATGGGAAACGTAAAGACGCCGTCATAGCTGCTAGGGAGAGGGGTAAGACGAACTTGCTGGTGTGTATTCTCATGGGATATAGGAGAGTTAGTGAAGGATGAATGTGAAACAGGATATATCGCGATTGACAGCCTAAAAATGATTCCCATTGCTTCTGCCAGATCGATTCAACTAGGAGTTACGATTGCCTCTTCGCCAGTGTGACGGTTCTTGTTGAGGTGCAACATGTCCCATCAGACCGCCACTTTGATTAAACTGGGCCGTAAGTTGCCTAACACTGGCAGGTTTTTCAATGTCGACTCCGGATTCATTTGTGGAGCCAACAGGTGACCTGGGTATCCGAGAGGGCAGGCTGGGGGCCGCAAGTTGCCTAATACCGGCATGTCTTTCAATGTCGACTCCGGATTCATTTGTGGAGCCAACAGATGGCCTGAGTGTCCGAGGGGGCAGGCTGGGGGCCGTAAGTTGCCTAACACTGGCAGGTCTTTCAATGTCGACTCCGGATTCATTTGTGGAGCCAACAGATGACTTGGGTATCCGAGAGGGCAGGCTGGGGGCCGTAAGTTGCCTAACACCGGCAGGTCTTTCAATGTCGACTCTGGATTCATTTGTGGAGCCAACAGATGGCCTGAGCGTCCGGGGGGGCAGGCTGGGGGCTACAGGAATTGGTCGATTCAAATGGGGATGTCCCAATTCTGAATCAATGTGGCATCTAGTTAACGAAACGCGGGAATCGATCGGCGAGTGTGAAGGGTCTTCCTCTTCCCCCCAGGAACTGACACTAGTCCGGCTTGTAACCGAATCTGGCAAATGAGAAGATTGCGTGCGTGGTACTGTGTGGGAGGAAGAGGTGGATGGCGGCATATCAGGCCTATTGATCTTTGGAAGGGGCTTTTTGGGGTCTAGACGATTTTGCGTCATATCGGCCGTGATATCACAACAGCCAGTCGGCGTACTTAGTTTGTTGGTCCAAATCTTGCGGGGTATTTTCTGCCTGAATGTGTCTCTAAGGTTTTTCCCCAGTGTCGAACTTTTTTCTGGGCCAGATGAAGCCTCGCCATGACTTACAGCCTGTGGCACTGTCTTGTCGGCCGATGCAGTTGATTTCACGTTCTTCCTGTTCCCAAGCGTGTCCAATAATCCTCGGTAGGGGGTGAGAAATGCTAGCCATTGTCTAGCTGATTCGACGTCTTTATTGCCGGTATCCTGGGCCACCTTTTCTAAAATATCCACAGCTATTGTGACTGCCCCCTCTGTGAGGTTCGATAAGATTTCAAGCCTTGAAGAATTCTCTCTCACGGTATTCTGGAGAAAAGTCAACTCCTCTCGAATTCCAGCGTTCGAGGGGTGTTGTTTTAACTCCTCAATCTGCGTGTCCATATTTTGCATATCTATCCGCATTACTTCTTCGGTCTCTCTGATGAGTTTCATTTCAGTTTGCACATCGATAAGCTGTTGATTCGCATGCTGCTGCACGGAGTCGGACAGGTTGCGCATCCAGACTTCGAGTTCATCGATTCGCTTCTCTGCAATCTGTGCAGCCTGCAATAGTCGGTCTGGTTGATTAAGACGACAGGCCTCCTGTATAACCCGCTTCATGACTTTCACATTCTCTTTCATCATGACTTCAACATCCTTCGAGGACATAGTTGACGGGGCTTGGGCCACGACTTCCGGAGTGATGGAGGCAAGCACTTCCTTAGAGCATACGGCTGCGGCAAACGCAGCATAGTGAGACCAGTCGCTATGCTGACTACCTTGGTTGTGGGTATCACGATTGATTCCTAAAATAGGTAAGCAGCTGATGCCTGCCCCCAGAATCTCAGCAGACCCATGTTCAACACACAGAATATCGTCTGTTAAACTTTTCTGCTCCCGCATTCCGACGATATCCCCATCCTTTCTTCCTGTCATGGATGCGACTGTACCCTGAAAGACTTCGATTGACCGGTTGGGAGGGGAGTGTTCGCTTTCAAATTCCGGGCGATGGTGAGGTGAGTTTGGCTGGAATCCAACGCGTCCTCGTGCGAAATTCACGAGGGGATCCCGTGGTCTTCCATACCGGCGATTGTGACTCGGAAACCGCGTCATGACTTCGTCCATTGTATGTTGCAATCTGGACCCGTCGAAATCCCTCTCATGGAATAGAACAGTAAGAGTAGAGGAAAGATAGCCGGGCAGCTGTAGTATCTCAACATCTGGGTTCCTCTTTTTTCTGTTGTCCGTTATATTGCATGGGATGACTTTGGTGCCGATAACAACATCGCCTATTTTAATTGAGCCGCCAGTGCTGTTTGCAGCCCCGCCGGACCCAACCATAAGAAAAAAGCGAATCAAAGGAAATTGTGCAATCAATCCGCGGGCCACATTCAGTGGAAGCGATTCGGTAGTTGAATCCCTTGGGGGGATGTTTATCACAACATTGTGTCTCTCGATTCGCGCGAGCTTGTAGGGTGTACGGCCGGATGGTTTAAGAGGCATTGTTACGAGCTGCTGTTCTTCGTCGAGGATTTTGCAAACGGCGCCATAGTCCCCTGTGGACTCACAAATCCATCCAACATGATAATCATAGACATCTGGAGGAAGTGGAAGAAGCACAGAACGTGCGGAAGATGCAGAAGGTACAAAAGGTACAGAAGGTACAGAAGGTGAAGGATTTGGAGGAGAAAATTCCGAGAATTGATTCATGATGAGTCGTGGATTCTAGCGAGGGCCTGAGCCGCAAAACCCGAAGATATTCAAGTCCTAAACTTGCCGACGAGACCTTTGCGGCTATAGATAGGTGGCAGAGAATCCATCCGCTCCTAGATATCTTCTAAAGCTGACCAAGGATACGGTATTGATCGTATACTCAGGCACAACTCCGTCGTTGGATTGTAATTAAGGCAAACAGAGGTTATGGTTATCCAACCGCCCCATCTTTGTGACTTGTTACCATCACGCACAATTAGCGTCCCTGGGCCTGCTATCAACCAATGCCCTTCCCTCACGGTTGCAGAGGCAAGCGGCGAGCATATGGCCAAGACGCGGGTGGTACCAATAAGAGCACGAATAAGTGAGGGGGAAATTTCACCCGAGACAGACTAATGATGATCCTTGACGAGATGTACAGAACAACTGACGTGGCGCGCATTAATATTTCAGCCGTACGCACTGGCCTCGAAAATTACCACTAGAGCCGCACAAGCCAGGAGAAGCTTATGACAGAGATCAGGTGTATGTGAGCGTACTAGTAAAAACACGATGGTAAAATTCTCTCTCTAACTAAAAACAAAAGTGGTCTGTATTTAACAATCTGGTTGATCCCAATTAGTAAGCAAAATGCATAGTGACGAGATCACATGCTTTCAGTGTAAAAAGACGGTATTATCTCAATTCCTGACAGCTTATAGTGTTACAAAACAGGAATTCGATATCGCGCATAGAGTGTAGAGGAGATGCATATTTCAGAGCACACGAACAACGAGTTGCAAACGGACATAAACTACAGGAAATGAAGTGCTGTGTCAATCCTATTGCCTCACTCTATCTCCATACATTCGCTCCTGGGCTCCCCGTTTGCCTTTTAAGTTATCAGGTCGTGATCACCACGCGGTTATATTGATCAAGTTTTGAAATAGGCACATAATTCGCTGAAATTTGAGAGATTCTCCTACCCCTACTTCTTACCAAAGACTCTGCCTATTCATTTCAATCCCTTAAAGGGATTGCTCAAGCCTCCCTCCCCGTACCACCCGCGTAGATGATGCCTTTGAGCCACCTTTCAACGTGCATTTTCTTTGGGCCCCGCTCTACTTCCAATTGGCATAGTTGGGCTCTTCTTCTTCGTCGGTGCCTTCCCAATCCAAGCAAGAATGTTGGGATATGGGTCTTTCGCTGCGAGGATACCCTGTCGATCTTAAACCATTCAAATATCCCACGTGTGGCCGCTTCAGAAAGGGACTGAATAGAAAGCATAGCTATAATCATCAAGTCCGGCCGACGTCATTGGCAGATAGAGCTGGTGCCTTAATAAGAGGCTGGCTATTTTATGCTTCAAAATTTAGAATTAAACTGTTGTTTGTCAAAATCCATTTCCAAGATTCATATTCTAAGTAGCGAGCGGGCACATCGAGCATGCTATCGGACCGCGAACTCTATATCACCAAGTTGTGTGAGCCCAAAGGACTTCTTAGACCATATTGGAGGTCTATGATGGTCATCACAGGCTGTAATAAAAAGCAGCCGGCTTTCGTCATCGCAGCGTAAGAACTTGCCATGATCGTTCTCCATTTTTGAAGTCAAAAACGTTTGTGATATTCCGGCCTAGGCAGAGGCTAAAAGATCTAGAGCCGTCATTCCTGCTCGTATATCAGGTAAGACGGAATCTGCTACATTAGTGAAAATTGTACTAAACTAAAGGATGCCGAGTCGAGGGTGTCGGTTTGCTAATAATATAGCTACTAAAATCTTCCTTTAGAGGATAGAGTTAAGTGTAGCAAAAACCGGATTCAGCTATATAGTGACGAGATTACTCTTAATATCTGGGTTAAAGAACGTGCTATATAGGAGTGAGCGCAAACCCTACGTACTAGCCCTACGTATTGGCACTTAACGTTGTATACTTGAAGAGCATTTTGCTGTGCTCGTTGACAAGATATGGGGATAGAGATATAAGAGTTATAAGCACTATTCTTTCTTTTAAGCCGACAGCCTTATTTTAGGAACGGGAGGGAAACCGTTCTCTTCCTCAGAGATACAATATAGAGTACCCTGGTTTAACTCGGCACCTAGAATATCATTTATGGCTAGTGTAAATCCCGCGTTCTTTATTAACACCGACTATGGCGACAAATAAACACGGCCATTATATATATTATATATCACCGTCGCATGCTAGCCATCGCTAGAATATAAAATAGTGCGCCACCAGAAAATTTCTTCTTCACAAGCATCGTCGCCGATGTCAATTTCAACCACGGAATGCTTATCCGACTACGACAATAGATTCTCCACCTCCTACGTAGTATAGGCTATATAACATTCATGTTCCGCAGAGCGACCAAACAACTTAACCCATCGAGCAGATAGGATATATGCCCATATAAAGTAAAGGACTAAAAGATTATTTCCCTTGTCATAACTCGAAAGTCCCTAAACTCCAGGCCAGACTGAAAAAGGGGAGTCATCTGACAATCTCACATTTAATCGACTGCCAACTGCTAGAAGAAGTTGCTTAGACATGACCTTTGGCTCTGGGTCACAATTCCTTCGGAAGTTCTCCAAGTTGATTGGCCATTGACAACAAGACTGCCTTCCAACTGTGTTGATTGCTTCTCCTCGCAAGCGAACGAAGTGGTCTTGTTCAAGCTAGCAAGGCCTCCACCGAGGAAAGGTGGGGTTTGATTGACGAGAGGTCTCAGGTCTATGGTGGGAAGTGGGTGATCCCCGCTTGCATCGAGATAGGATAACCATGTCTTGAGACTAGGCCGCTCACGGCTACGCTCAGCTCAGACTCAGTGAGCGGATCAGAGCGCTCAGGTGACGATCAGAGCATCCATTCCAATTGTTCAGTGAGCACCTGGGCAGGTCAGTGTGCTTATGTAATGCTCAGTGAGCGGATCAGGGCGCTCAGGGGCGTGCTCAGTTCTACTCAGTGAACAAAAAGCGGCAAGGACTGAGCACTTGAACGGAAAGGTAAAGCCAAGAAGTGGCAGTGGAAATCAAGTACATAGGTCACTATACGTACTTGATTTCCTCTGCCGGGTGGAGCTTCCCTGTTGTAGCTGCCGCCGCTTTTATGGGGGCGCTCAGAGTCGGGCTCACTGAGTAGATTTCAGTCCGGGCTCAGACTCAGTGAGCTGTCTCGGTATCATCACGTGATAACCGCGTGGGGTCCACTGAGCGCTCAGTCATAGTGATTGGGCTGCTCACTGATTGCTCACTGGTTACTCGGAGTTTGGTCTATTGAGCACTCAGTCAACGCTCAGTCTATACCCAAAGGAACACTCTGCCCCACAATACTATTCATTCGTGAACTACTTTTTGATGGCCGTGGGAGGAAGATTCCCTGGGTCTTTTTATCTACGGCTGCTGGACTCTTAGTTATAAATTGAAGCTAGTTATATTCCCTTCCTAGGGCACTAGTACACTTTTTCTTCATTATTTTCACTTTTCCTTCGTCTTATTCTTATCTTAGCATTAAAGTCAGTTCATAGGAACTGACTTGTTGTAATGGTATATATATATATATATATAAAGGTGTCCTATATGTTATAGGACCACAATAGTAATAAGTAACTAAGAGATAGTTACTCACAATCCGAATACACGACTCCCGACCCTCTGACCCGATGATACTAGCGTTTATAATATATAATATACTAACGTTGAGGAAGGCCCTTCCTTACGCGAATGATTATACAAGATATCGATTAAAGAACAATTCTACGAACTCGCCTACGAATACTAGAAGTTAAAAGAACGATATATACCCCTTAATTTGTCAGAAAACAAAGCTAAATACGAATTTTTGGCCGTGAAGGCGGTTTGAACCATAGTTATTTCTGGCTTCGGTGGAGGACCTATAGTGGCAGAAGCCAACAAGGCGAAGGAAAAGGTGCCTGCCGTCTGCGTCATCGTGAGAACTCATTCAGAAGGCCATAATCTAAATGTATTCCAGAAAGCCTCCAGACTCCCCCAAATGGTAAATACCAGAAAGGATTACAGATATTTTTCGACTTGATCCATCCATTAGGTCCACTCTTGTTCCTGCCGGCAATCATTTGTCTTGTGCGATGATCACTCCAGCGCTAGGTGAACTGGCGTAATGTCAATAACGGAAGGGAAAAGCGAGAAAAGGAAGCTCTCAGTAACGACGATATGCTGGAGGAACCATAATAAAGAACTCCAGATGCTTAAAGAGTTATATGTGTAAAGTTTCAGGGTCTATTTGTCTAACAGTTTAGCTAGAAACGTGTTATTTAGCCGGTTATAGTTCAATTCGATTCCCCCATTCTACTTGTTTATCGATACATGTAATACTGGGGCACCTCCCCGAGTCATATTAGAGTCTTTTTTTTTTAAAGTTTTGCAGCTCCACTAAATTCGCAAGTTATGGTATTTTGTTCACGTTTAGGGTTGTCCCGGTGTTATGGTTCTGGTTTATCTAACGCTAGGGCTATTGGGAAAATGTTAAGAGTGCTTTTTTTTTTCTTTTTTTTTTGCCTGGTAATGGTGAAGAGTGTAAAATTCTTCAGTTCTATCTTATAGTCTTCTACAACATACGCAACGATAGTCAAATAGGGAATCAAATCGGAAATGTGGGTTATAATCATCTGCGGAGATGAGGATCTACCATCCGATCCAAAAAGGGTCAATAGATCAAGTTCGGCAGAACACACAATTCAAATCCCTTTTCTAGGAGAGGACGGCTTTTTCCGACAAATTCTAGCTTAAGCGCTAGAAAGACTCCACCTCCTCCACCAGCTTGGCTAAGCAGCGACCATTGCACATTTGGGATCCAGTACCTCCGAGATACATAATTAGTCGAAGGAGACCCATCGATAGTCTCCTGAGTATCCTGATGGACCTGGACACGCGGACCTGCCGTGGGGAGAATTGGCTTTTACCATCGTACGCTTCAACGGTAAAGAGTTCTTCCAATTTGAGTTTAGTGTATTCGCATATGCGGGAGAAATATTGCAATC